AGTACGGACAACAGTGGACCAACCGCCGGGAACCTTTTCAACGTTTAAAATTGCTCGGTCTTGTCCTTGTTCTGGAAACACTTGAATGCGCGCTTGAATCAACTTCCAGTGTTCATCAAAAGTTTTCTCCTTAATATAATAAAGTCAGGAGAGGCTAGTTTAAGTGAAGTATCGTATCTCATGTTACGTGCGCCTTTTAGTTCATTTCCAGTTACCATTGCGCATGAAATTTGATAGCGGTCAGTTCAACTTCCTTTTTTGCTAATGTCTTAAGCTGATGCGAGCACGGAATCCCCATCTTTAAACTAAATAGTTCGGTGCATAAATTAGATTCTTGGCTGGTTTTAACATGCTGCAAAATGCATTTTTAACGCTTAACGGTGCAAAAATTTCTGGAAGATTTAGCAAATTATGCATCGCTGTTTTGCTTCTACGATCCATATCCACTGGAATCTGGTGATCGAGCGCAATCTTCAGTTTTTTTAATACTGAAATTTTATTTCCGCTAGAGACTTGTAAAAATTCTTCATAAATGCATGGGATCCCTCGGTCCGCGACGAGGACTTGAATCCAAAATGTGGATGCTTCAAAGCTCAAGCCTTCACGAATTTTTTGGTAGACAAGCCATGTATTTGTAGCGTAGTTGAGCATTTCCGGATTTTTTAAAAGCAATCTTGTGAGTTTCGAAACCTGCTTCTCGTAGTCTTCTTCCTTTGTAGACAACCAACGCATTCCACACTTGTATGAATGCATCAAAGGTCTCCTGAACTTAATAGTTTATCTTGCAGTAGGCACGAATGCTTTATTGATATGATAAATGCACAAAATATATGCAGACAACGGAAAAACTTGCTGGATATCATCCCTAAGTACCAGCACACGGTGTGCCACAATCACATTCGGTACACACTTTCGACAATATTGACCTTGCTCACGTACGATTGTCAAATCTCTTCATGGCCAAAAAAGCAAAAGAAACATTGCGAATTGTTGTGCCGAATGCAGTCATTGTGATGATGTGAAGAAGTGATTTTCAAATCTGTTGGTCTTAAAAGTGTAGTCCATTATTACAACGTTATTGTATTGGTTTGCAAGTGTAACACTGTCTGGGTTTGCAAAAAACAGGCCTGTGGTGTGTCCGGACTCGTTCGCTTCAACATGATACATCCAGTTAGTTTATTGAAGATTGTCAAGTATTGCTTGCACTAGATTCCTACCTGCAAGATGATCGGTACACATCGAAAATCTCGCGTTGCATATAGCGCGCAAATTTGCAAAGGTTTCTCCATCAGCCATCCTGAGTGCAGAAAGAATTCCAATTGGCTTGACACCAGCGTTTGTTCGTCATATTCTCGACTTGTTTTGTCCGCGCTTTCGTGATACTTCAATAGGATGGTTGTTGGACGATTTAAGTTATTGTGCGTGATTGTGATTGTGGCTGTTGACTTTTGACTTCGGCTTCCATTTCACGTTTTTTCAAGAAATACATAGAGAGTAGAATTGGGCAGTCAATACGACGACTCGTTGACTGTCGTTTTTAGCACGTTTGCACCGCCACAATCCCATTTAAGTTGTACAATTTCGCCAGCCACTGACCATTTAATATTCACTGCATATTCATGGCCAAGAGCCCAACATTAAGCTGCAGACAGCAGATCCTCACGGCTATCGTAACGGGGTAGCCTGTTTCATGATATTGGCACCAAAAGGTGTCATTAGGGAGATTGTCTTGCATGACAATCTCCTGCCGATGTTATCTAAGATGGACAAAATTAAATGAATTTAACCCCCTTTTAGGATAATTTTCACGCGCTGCTCAAAGATTGGTTGACAAAGACGTATCAACCAAGATTTACACCGATTGCTGCTAGACGCGCGTAATGAGTGGTGAGGAGGTTTTCGTCATATGGCAATGTAGATTAATCTAGTTCGATAAAGAATGAAGTTGTATTGATAGCTTAACTATATTAAATACAGATCTCTTTTTGCCTTTACTTGACCGAGTCGTTCAAGTAGATTAGCTTCCTCTGCTCTTACTAGTGTACGTGAAGTTTCGTGGCACCCAAACAAAGGGTGCCCCGTTACACCTGGTAGCACTTAGTAGTCCGTCCGACGAATACGTAGTGTCCGTCCAACATGAACATGTTGAACATAGAAGACGGCACATTTCACGTCACACGTGAAGTCTACTCCCATCTGAGTGACTCAGAATGGGAGGTACTCGGCCGCATGAGTGTGGTCATAGGCGAACCCGCCATCAGTGGCACGTTGGAGTCTCTAAGCAGAGAACAGCAACATGGTGCTACCAAAAAGTTCCTACAAGCTGAACTTGCCGTCGAACGACAGAAGATAGCCTTGCTACAACAGCAAAGCCCTCATCAGTCGATAGGCGGGCCGACTCACACGCGTCGACCCGAAACCTTGACGATTGATATCTAAAAGCACAAGGGAACCGATGAAGATTTCTTTTTGAGATGTTTCGTCGAGTTAGACGATGCCACCAGGGCCTGTCACATCGAGGGTGACGAGATGCAAGTCACCTTCGCCCTGTCAAATTTGACGGGACGAGCAAAGACTTGAGCCTTAGGGCTCAAGCTTCACGACCCAAACGTGTTTGAGTCGATAGAGATCTTAAAGTCTCGTCTTAAAGAGACGTTTGAGCCGCCGAGAGCCGAGTTCAGAGCACGCTCTGCACTCTTAAGGCTAAAGCAAGGCAAGCGTGACGTGCACGCTTACGCAAAGCACCTGCGCTACCTTGCAAGTAGCGTTACGGAGAACCCTGTTGATGAGCACACACTCATCAAAGTGTTCATCTTCAGCCTTGTGGATGGACCGATAAAGGCCTACATGTTCCGAGAGGACTTCCAAAAGATACAAGGGCGATAACGCATGCGGAACAAGAAGACTTCAGCCTGAGACAGTCTTAGGATAGCTCATCAAACTATCGTCATACGAGACCACAGGAAACCGGAGATTCCGAACCAATGGAATTCTGTTAAATCGAGAGCGAGAACTCTCGCTCTCTGAGTCAAAACGAACTGCAAGATGCCATCGCTTTCAGAAGATCGGACACCACGCGTGTGAGTGTAGATCCCAAGCATCATGTCACGTCCAAAGACAGGACGGGTTATGACCGCCGTTGGCCAACGAAAGGTCCAAGGCGCGGTTCCAACCATGTCGCTAAGCCGCGACAGCAAGTCGGACTGCCAAAAAAACGGTCAGGGTCAGTCGTGGCGGAGCACCCTGCAAATTCAGCAACGTCAAGAGAATTTGCAATATTCTTGACAAAGATTGCCCCAACACACAGTCACTGTGTGTTACTGCCCCCAGTGATGAGGTGTCCCTCATCATTTTGACGATCGAGGTGACAAGTGGAATGTCACTTCGCGCCCTAGTTGACTGTTGGGCGTTGAACAGTTTTATTCGACGCCAGTCGCTAAGGGATAGTAGGCTCAACAATGTTGAGCGAGAGTTCCCCCCAACGAGAATGAATGCGTGCCTTGCTACAGGGGTATCCGTAACATTGAATAAACGTGTAGTTCGAATCCACTACGCGTTAGAAGAAATGCAGTACGATGATGACTTCATCGTCCTGGATCTGGATGACAAATTTGATGTCACCCTCGGTCTGCCATGACTAAGAAAGTACCAGCCATGGTTCAGCTGGCAGCATCGATCCGTGAAGTTTCCTGTCGTTTCTTCATCGGGTGGCCATCTGATGATCGTCTTGGAGCGTCCACAGGCGTGTGGATGTACTAAGAGTGAGAAGAATGGCCTCACTTGTGGTACGGTCGTTAGTAAGATTGCACAATATCACAGTGTAGAAGGCCACTACACTGTGGAACGTAGAAGGCCACTACACTGTGGAACCAGCTTCCGGCACCTGTGTAGATAAGCAGGCTGCGCCGAAGGTAAACCACTCGAAGAGATCGAGTGGACTGGAAAATGTATGCACACCAAAAAGGTTGCATCCGAGAAGAGAGATTAGTGTTGTTAAGGATGGAAAACACGTAGAAGCGAGATCGACTATCAGAGAGTCGATCGTAGAGCAGACCGCTCGACTGAAAGAGAGTCGATTGAAGAGGACGTGACCGTGATAGTATCCGTGACGGAAGAAAATTCCGGCGTTCCTGAGAGCAATAAGTCCCGAGAGTTATGTTGAGGTTGTGGATCCCCAACCGCCTGCGGATGTGTTTTCTCAGGAAATCGCCGAGTCAGTTAATGTCTTGGTGAATGACGGATCAAGTGTAGGCGCTTATACACTTAATCTGGTTATACCTCCAAAGTCAGCTACGGGGGTAATCAAGTTGCCAACGCTAGACTATAAAAGATTCTTGCTAGATCTGCGTAGCGACAAGATCAAGTAGATCTGCATACTCGTCACAGAGGACGAGTACGTCGCCGATATTCGGTCGGCACAAGTGTTTGCTGAGAACGAACGGGTTCTCAGTAGTTCATCTATGGACGAGAGTGTCCTTAATGAGAAGACCTGGATGGAGCGATACACGTCTCAATCTTGGGAACCTTTAAAGACAAGTCCTTTGTGTAAGGATTTGGTTGAGTTGAGGGATGTTTTCCCGGAATCCGTGCCATGCGAGCTGCCCAAAGACAAAGGCACTCGGCTTGAGATCGAACTGAAACCTGTTTCGAATTACTGTGTCATGAAGCAGTAGCCGTTGCCTCGTCAACAGGTCACAGCGATCGAGATATCCTTTGCCGATCGCTTAGCGGCTGGTCATGTGAGGGAATAAACTTCCCCACATAGCTCTCCGACCTTCTGTGTGCGAAAGGCCACATGAGGGTGGCGGATAGTGCACGCGTTCTACAAATTGAACGCTGCAACGGTACCGGCTCAAACGCCGATACCAAGGAAGGACGTCATCTTAGATGGTATGGCAAAAAGTACCATCTTTTCGTCCATGTATCTAATGGATTGCTTCTATCAGATTCTCATGCGTGAATAAGAAATCTTTTACACAGTAGTGAGCACCCCCAGTGGTATGCTCTGGGAGTGGCTAGTGATGCCTCAAGGGCTAAGTAACCCCCCTGCTACGTTCAACAGATGTGTTACGAATCTGTTGCGATCGGTGCGCGATTTCGCACCGAGCTACTTCGACGATGTCTTCGCCCATAGACGGGCTATGGATGGAAAGACGGACGTGGAGGTTCATAGAATTTACGTCCGGAAGGTTCTTACACTAATGCGAGAGCATAAGTTGTTCGCGAACCTCAAGAAGTGTATATTCGCAGCGAACGAAGTACCGCTTCTTGGCTGCATCGTGGATAAAGACGGTGTACGCCCTGATACGAAAAAGATCAAGGCGATCAGCGACTGGTCTGTGCTAGTTGAAGTCAAGGTATTTCGAAAGTTCCTTGGCTTGGCGGCGTACTTGCACAAGTACTCGCGCAACTATGCCGAGATGACCGTATCTCTCTCGTCTGCTAAAGAAAAACGAGAGGTGGTCATGGAGCGCTAAGTGTCAATACTCTTTGAAGGCATCAAGAAAAGCTTGGTACAATCGCCTGTGTTGGCGATTGCAGATCAGGATAGGCCATTTCATGTGGTCTGTGACGCCAGCAATTTTGCAATCGGCTGCGCGTTAATGCAGTACGACTTAGACGGAGTTGAGCGCTTCGTCTTTTATCAATCGCGTCAGCTGCAAGCAGCTAAGCAAAATTTTCCGGTTCATGACAAGGAAATTCTTGCCATGAAATATGCACTGGCTAAGTTTTGGGTTCATCTCTTAGGAGATAGGCCCTTCATCGTTTATACCGACCATGCTTCGTTACGCACGGCCTTAAACAAGTCACACTTCTCGCAACGAATGGCGAGGTGGCTGTCTTTCTTCGCAGAGTACAACTTCTCCGTCGAGTATAAATATGACGATTAATGTCGTCGCTGATGCTCTTTCGCGTCGGCCCGATTTCGAGCCGACTGCTCAACCCAACAGTAGGGGTGATCCCACCGTCGCGACACTAACAGTGAGTGTTCCGTCGTCGAATCTGCTCGACGACGTGCGAAAAGCATACACAGAAGATGAGCCTCTTCTGCGGTTAATGGATCATGTAGCCAATCCGTGTAATCAAGCTTTGAAAAGCTTGTCGTCTCAATACCGCTCTTCAACCGAACGGTGTTCTGTTCGCGACGGACTGCTGTACTATACAGCGGTCAACGGCGACACACCTCGTGTCGTCGTTCCGGCTCATGATGATTTGCGATTGCGCATCATGTATTAGTGTCACGATGCCTCAACAAGTGGGCATCGCGGTAGAGAAAAGACCTACCTCGTGGTGAGTCGTGACTTCTACTGGCCCCGACAGCGTGATTTGTGCGGAAATACATTCGCGCTTGCGAAGTTTGCCAACTGGTGAAGCCTAGTCCTTCATCCTGCGCAGCCTTACAGTCTCTTCCGATTCCGGCAGAGTGTTGGCAGTCCGTATCGATTGACTTCGTCTTCGGGTTTCCCAAAGACGCTCACAAGAATACTGGTATTCTTGTGTTTGTTGACCGGTTCAGCAAGATGGTACATCGTGTTGCCGTACCGGAGTCAATCACAGTCCGGGGCTGTGCGCGTGTCTTCATCGATGCTATCTTCCGACTTCACGGGTTACCCCGTGAACTCATGTATGATGGGAACCCCCGCTTCACAGCGGAGTTCTGGCAATCCGTGTTCCGTCCACTTGAAACACGTTTGACGATGTCAACTTCTGACCATCCCGAAACCGATGGTCAAACGGAAATCGTCAACCGCGTTCTCGAAGATATACTTTAAGGGTATGTCCACTCGTTAACGAGCTGGAGTGAGTTCTTGCCAATGGTAGAGTTTGCCAGCGACAACTCGGTGCATGCGTCCACGACACATACACCTTTTTACGTGAATGGCTTGCGCCATACGCGCGTACCCACCTTACTAGAGTTTAACTCTGGTTTAAGGGGGGGGGTGGACTCGCTCAAACAAAAACCGATCTGGTTCTTGCTCATCACCCGTCGAAAATGGTGTCGACGGGATGGATGCCGATGTCGTGGGATCGATATCGATGATGACGATGACGACGATGCTGGTATATTCAGTATCGCTAATGTGTGTTTAAGTGAGGACGAAGGTACCCTCACTGGTGGAGACATTGTTCTTTCAGCAGTGCACACGAAGCGCACTGCTGTTGACAAGGATGAATCAGCAGAGGAATATCTGCTGACTCGCGAAGCGGTTGTCAGCTTCGTTCAAGACTCTATTGCAGACGCACTAGACAAACAGAAACGAAACACAGACAAACATGAAAGAGCGAATGTTCTTTCATTTGATGAAGGAGACCTAGTTTTACTGTCTACAGTAAACCTACCGAAACAAGCAGTGACAAACGTGGGCAGCAGTAAATTACGGCTCAGGTACATCGGTCCATTTCGTGTGTTGCGCCGAATGGCCAACGCATACAAGATTGAACTGCCGCGTAAGATGCGCACACATCCTACGTTTTACGTTGGTCTTCACCGCCCGTACTATCAGTACGAGCCCGTTTCGAGATGCAAAGAACACCTCCGTGGTCGAAAGCCGAGACCAACCTCGAGTGGTCCCGTCTCAACGAGCCAGTCTGGTCGACTAGCGAAGCGACCTGCTCACGCAATAAAGCGATGTCTCGACGAGCTGCGCAATCTCGTCAAGAAGAGAATGAATCGAACGTTCGTTTGAAGTTGCGCAAACGCAAAAGCGGCACAATCGTCCGAACGATTGTGCGCTAAGGAGTTGCAATTATCCTTTGCAAGATCACGGAGCTCATGACGCCGAGTCCGTTCACGAGCCAGGTCATCTTGCAACTGTTCTGTTTCACGGTTAAGACCATGAACATCAGGCTGATCCGACCCTCGAACCGGATCAGGTGTTCCCACCGCCACCATATCCTTTGGTGGACTCAAGCGGTGGTCAACGCTTCTGTGGTAAAGTCGATCAGGATCGGTGTCGTAAAACCTCAAACTTTGGCCTAATCACGGAGTGGAAACCGGTGGAACGATCGTGGAAACCTATGGAACGATCGTGGAAACCGGTGGAACGATCGTGGGACGAGGACCAATCATATGGATGGCACCGTTGGGATTATTCACGGAAGAATCTCATCCAGTCAGAACGGTTCCGAACGGCGAAAGGGACCGCGATCAAGGGACCGTGATCAGGAAACCGCGATCAGAAGACCGCGACCAGGGGCCGCGATCAAGGGACCGCGATCAGGAATTCGCGATCAGGGGCCGCGATCAGGGGCCGCGATCAAGGGACCACGATATGGCGTGGACTATGCCCTGATGCGATCAGAAGGTTAGTGTGTCAGGTCTGTGTCACATAGGTACAAGAGGCGATCTGTAGAGGCGACGCGTGGCATCTGATTCTTTGATTTATAGGGGTAAGGTGTGAGGGTCTGATTGGTTAACATTAAACAGAGTTCAACTTGCTATTAAACATATTCGTGTCGATCTTCTCCAGGGTTTGGAAATTTTGGCGTCCCGACGTCTGAGAATCTCGACATCAAGGATAGAACGATCACTCCTGGAGCTATTTGGCCAGGAGTGCTAGGACTCTCAACACACCCCTACTGCTATCAGACGCAGACAACCATTTAGGTTGAAGTACAAGATCGCGAGACGGCTCAAGTGGCCAGAAGGCTCGCGACTCAAGTACACATTTTGGCACAAGGTGATCAGGGCAGATCACGGCGACTCTAGGAGAGTGCCAACCCAGAACACGCGATCGGGTGAGGATTTTCCATCCGATCAGCACCAATCTCTACAACGGTCAAGTTTAGCATCTCGTCGAGTCCACCTAGAAGAGTGCAACCCGCCATGCCGACAGGTACACAAGGTGAAGAGGACACAAGTGCAAGCAGAATCGGAGTACCTCCTCCGTTAGTCGGTCGTCTGGGCGCCAGTGGAGAGTCGGGATCGCCTCAAAAAATGAGCGAACCCCACTCCACCACAATGGTGCGCGTGACCGGATCTTCTGGTGACTCAGGATTTCACCGTGCGTCCCGAGATGAAGATGTTAAGATCAGTTGAACCTGGGATTGGAGCGTCAGCGGAATTCGGATCGCCACAGAAGTGCGAAGGGACAGGACCCCAACATCTTCAAAGCTTTGGGAGGGGCTATGATGACAAGAAAGTCAAAGAGTAGAGATCATGAAGCTGATCTGGAAGAAAACCTCAACCCCCTTCTGATGCCCCTTCGGGTACCACCGCGGATCGTGCTGCAAAGCACAATCTGCCAGATGGACATCCTTCAGTAAAAATCTGAAAGATCTTCATCCAAAACTATCGCTCAACCAAGGGCAAGGAAACACACTCCTTAGTTGGCCCTTTCAAAGACGAATACGGCAGAGCCACATCGAAACAAGCAAGAGATCAAGACAGAAGGTCAGGATGTGGAATCAGGAGGCTGGCAATTGGAACGGATCACCCGGGAATTCCATTGGCAACAACTGAAGAAACTTCTCGCAGAAGACCCAGTCCTAAAGGTGCTGAAACCTAAGCTGATCGGGTCGATCCAAGGTCCAGTATCGCCACCGAAAGTGGCCTCGATTCAGTTGGAGGCATTGCATCGGCTTATTCAGCTGCTAAGATACGCTGAATTTACAGTTGGAGCTTTCGACTCACAAACGCTCTTCGAATTTATTCACAATTGGGTGATAAAGGCAGGACAGCTACCATTCGAAAAGCAAACTCCACTGGCAGGGTCTCACAAGCCTATGAGCCAACGGATCAAGAGTAAAGAATGACACCTGAGCCAAGGTAGATAGTCAACCTACCGCAACGTGAAAGAGGGATACACGGGGTCGTCACGCTTTTCCTCGGCAGAATCAGATATGGACTCAGACGAGTCGTTTGGGATGCAGCGGATGTCGCTGGGACCGACAGGGGCAGCAATGCTTGAAAACAGGCTCGACCCGGCTAATAATGGAATATGATCGACTCGAATTCCGGCTTCACGGAATGCAAACACGGTAGAGCCAAGCCAGTTGTAAACATATTTCAAGGCCGCTACGGACAAATTCATTCGCGATCGCGAAGAACAAGGAGCTAACTACCCGATCTTCCCAGACGTCGAAATGGAGTCAGTCGACTCATACCGCTATCGACCGGGAGAACATGAGTCAGATCGCAGGGGACCATATGATCGAAGACGACCACAAGTGGCAACTGCAGGAACCACCCCTACGGAAGGTTTCAGAGCACAGAGGATTAGTTTGTCGGCGATGGCCGATCCGAAAGAATTTTCAGGACGTGATCAAGACGAAGAACGTGCTAAAGGTTGGTTTAACAAGATGAAGACTGCCTTGTTACGCGATCAGGCTCTAGACGACGAGAAATGCCTGGTACTTGGAGACCTGCTCACAGGACCTGCCCGAAATTGGTACAGCCAGTTGAGCCGATCGATTCGCGATGATTTAAAGTCGTTGTCGGAAGGCTTCGTGGTTCGATATGGGGGATGTGGAATGTCAGCAGGAAGACAATACTACTACGCGCGGAAGAGACCGAATGAAACCCTGTTGGAATAATTGGACCGTTTGAATGTAGCAGGAATGCGAGCAAAAGTGACGTCCAGAGATGGATCGCCAGCAAGCCGACGTGAGCATGTAGAACAATCCATTGACACTTTGGATGATCGAGAGTTGGCGAAGCAACTGACCCTGTTGCGAGTGCATGATGCTAACACGATGAAAGAAACTTTACGCGCTTATCAGCGTATGAGTTTTCGACAGAATAAGGATCCGACTGACTCGAACAAGTACCGATCGCGATCGGCTACGACACCAGCCCAAGTATATTCGAAGAAACCACGGATGATGAAGGCCATTCGTGCAGAAAGAAAGATAAGCGACTCAGGCTCAAGTTCGGACGATGAAGATGAAGAAGATTTTCACCGTAAGGTTTGTGTGACGGCTATCACTGATCAGGCTGCAGACCCAGGGGATCAACGAGACAGATCGCGAAAGACAGACCGAGATGATGATCGCGATCGGGGCGGAGTTGCGAAAGCCTGCACACACTGCGGCTCGAAAAGACATGACGATGGGGGATGCTGGAAAAGATTTACCTGTCAGAAGTGTGGCCGAAAAAGGTACCCCTCAGACAAATGTCTACATGTGTGTTCCGCTTGTGGGGAAGTTCACGAGAGCGGCCAATGTCCCAGAAAAAGTTCTACAACCTGATCCGCAAGTGGTACGTCCCAACCAAGCACGCAGGACTACTACCGACCAAGGCAGAAGAGATGTTAAACTAGGACGCTCGCCAGGATGGAATCTGGCACGAGCCGAGCGTTCTAGGCTATGCATATATGCATTTGTGGACAAGGGCAGGATCGATCAAGGGAGTAACAAACGGATCGAACTGACCGCTAATACATGTGATTTGGAACACCATCGTTGGTGTGATTTTTCAAGTGTAAAAAAGGTGGATGAACATTCACGATCTCCCGTTAAGATGGAACTCGATCTAGCGCCGGGGAAATCGAGAGGATTTTGAAAATATCACACGCCAGGAATTGGTTTAAACAGGCTAAAGCGGTGGGTAAAATCAATAACGAGAAGGCCACCATGTTATTCTATTATGGAGCCGAAGTCTCAATCATAGACGCCTCCTTTGCTCGTAAGGTGGGATGTGTGATTGATGACAGCCAGAGACAGGAATGTGTGGGAATCGGGGAGAATGCCTACATGACGGAAGGACGCACCGTAAATAAGATCTCATTCAACGGACCGCTGGTGTAATACTTTGACGTTTGAGTGGGCGATCAAGTGGGCCAAGAAGCGATTTTAGGTATAGACTTTATGGTGCCAGCGGGAATACGGTTAGATCTGGCGGACGGTACGCTTTGTTTGCCAGATGAGGTGAAAATTCACTTGGCAGGGCGCAGGCCTCCGCATAAGGTAAATGTGCAACCGATCGTTATCCTAGACCAACATATAGTAATTCCTGCTGGAGAATCCACGGAGATGAGGATTGGAGCAGATTTCCCTTAGTCCAAACTATGGATGAGACGGGATAAAAAATGGGTACCGACGGTGAATACTGGACAGGGCCAGATCAAGTACTTGATCCTGACCAGCATTGTCGATCAGCAGGTGATTCTAAATCACGATATACCTTTAGGGTGGTGGATGATGACGGACATGATACCCCGATCGCCGGGCTGTGGATCAGTTGGATTACGCCGGTTTAATGAAGGGCAGACTCTGGCGTTTGAAGCTACAACGGAATCAACCAAGAAACATCCGATCGAGTATTCGAGACACTTAGTGAATCACCCGTCATACCCACCCCTAAGAAAATTCTGACCGACAGAAATAAACAAGGAAGGAATATGGAGGGAAGCCGATCAGATCTGCTAGCTCCACAAGCAAAGATGATGGATGTCACAGAACGCCAGATTGTGAAAGAGGATCGCCCCGACAGCGACGAGCAGCGATCACTAGAGGCACCTGCCGTGGTCAATAACGCAGTGAAGGCAGAAGAGGGCTATCGGTCACAGAAACACTCGGACGACGTAATCAGACAAGCACAAGAGATCGCGATCGGCGATGATCACCCGGTCGGAGACGATCAAGAGCTCGAATTGTCAGATCAAAAGATACGGAATGCTACAGTACTGAATCGCGAGGGAGACGTGACAGGCGAGACTCAAACAAAATCGGTGGGTCATCGCCACGATAGTGGTGATTTATTTGCGGAAGATGTGGGCCAACATATGGCACTCTTGACAAAAATAATTGCGCCCACAAAAGAAGTGGCTATAGATGACATCCAGGTTGGCGATCCAGGTGTCACGCTGACAGACGATCAGGAGAAGCTAAGGCAAATGATTTGGAAAAATCGCCAATTACTCATAGGCAAAGGGAACGCCTTGCCTCCAGCTGCGCGTGGAGCAGTATGTGACATTGATGTTGGAGGTGCCAAACCGATCGCGCAAAGAGTACGACCGGTGGCACCTAAATATCGAGAAAAATTGGCGGACCTGATCAAGGGATCATTATCAGCCAAGATCATTCAACCGTCCATTTCACCTTGGGCTTCTCCGATCGTGGTGATTATCAAGAAAAATGGGGAGGACATACGGCTGTGCATCGATTACAGGAGGGTGAATCAGTTGACAAGACTGATGATATAATCCATGCCACTAATCAGCGAATTATATCAAGACTTGGATAAAGCGATGTGGTATTGTTCGCTAGATATGGCGAGTGGTTTTTGGGTAGTGGAAATGACGGAACGAGCAAAAGCTATTTCTGCATTCACCACGCCGTCGGGTTTGTTAGAATGGTTGCGAATGCCTTTTGGGCTAAACATTGCTCCCCAGATATACCAACGACTTATCGACAATGCACTACATGTTTATCTCAAGATCGACCTAACACCTAACTCGCATGTAGTACCATCGTCGACACGAACCGATGTGTTTACTGAAGGATTACCGGACACAGATCCAAGACCATCAGTTTTAGGCCGAAGGTCCTATATCGATGACATCTTGATACCTGCTGAATCCTGGTCATCCCTGTATGAAAAGGTGGAACGATTGATAGAGGTGTGTGACCGATGGAACCTATCGATCAATGTGTCAAAAAGTTTCTAGGGGCGCTGTAAGGTCGACTATCTAGGCCACCAAGTTTCACACAAAGGGTTGGAAGCCCACCCCGATGATTTAATATCAATTGCGAATATTTCCTTCCCTCGAACTCTGCGATCAATGCAATCATTCATGGGAAGCCTAAATTACTACAGTCGTTTTATTGAAGACTTCGCTTTTATGCGTCCGTGCTCTACGAGCTACGGGAAGCAGATTTCTACGAGATCAGCCAAGATAAAGAAGTTCGGATAATGGTATCCAACAGTGAACCCGATCGTGATCAAGATTCGCGAAATGAGTCCGGCGACGATCTGGACCAAAAAAAGGGGGCGATCTGGACCGGAAAACAGGGGGCGATCGAGATTCTGGAAGTGGGAGTCGATGGATGGAAGCAAGGATGGCTTTTAACTTGCTAAAGGGAAAAATTGGTGAAACACCGATCTTAAGACATTTCGATCCAGGTCGAGCACCAGTTAATGTGGTGTACGCCAGTCAGTGGGCGGTATCAGCCGCATTGCTTCAAGAGTATGACGGCACGTATTGGCCTGTCATTTTTTCTAGTCGCACGCTGAAATCCTACGAAGTCAATTACGGAATTGTTAAGAAAGAAGTGCTAGCCCTCCTCCGAATGTTAGACATTTGTTATACGATGTTGATTTTGCGGGAGATCATGGTGCTTACGAGATACTCTACGTTGGCTTGGCTATTGAGTCGTCGGGTCTTAATGAAAGACTAGGGAGATGGGCGGCGGTACTATCGAACTGGACGTTAGACATCAGACGGTGCGAAATAGGCGAAGACGAAGTGCTAGGTACGCTAGCTGCAAGCATAACACCTCGAAAGGATGTAGATGAAGTGCTGATCGAGATCACTCCAAGGAAACAACCACGAAAACACATTAGTCTGCAACCACCTACAGTCGAAGTAGACGGAAGTGTCCTGGTGGTCAGTTTCGATGGGTCAGCTAGGGTAAAGAAAAAAGGTGGCGCTTACAGCGCAATAATATGGAAGTTTATTAAATGAACGATCGTGGTGGCTACTTCAGAATTTGTTGAAGATTTGACGGTAAACGAGGCAGAATATCGTGGGCTCTTGCTGGGTCTGGAGTCACTGTCCGATCAGATCAGAGATCGGGTGATCTTTTTTGGTGAATCGAACTGGGTAATAAGACAGATGCGAGGTGAAATCGACTGTAAAGCACCAGGTCTACAACTTTTGAAACATAAGGCAATGGAGAAACTCCGATCGTGGCCAAAACACAAATTGCTACATGTATAAAGGGACTGGAGCCAGAGTGATGATCGACTAGCGAGCGAGGCGTTACATCAGGAGAAAGGAAATGTCGCAGTATCAGACCAAGAACAAGACGATCTCGTGATCCTTAATCGGTCAAATGAACTACTGATACCAAAACAGACTAACCACCAGTCAAGGTAGCCGCGATCACGCGATCAACGACGTGAAGACGATGCCCCCAGACAGTTTTACAAGAAGAAATTGTACAACAAGTCCAGATCGTACGTATAAACCAGGCGCAAAATGAGTTAAGTTGGATATCGGACTTTAAGACATATCTGATTAGGGATATAGCCACACTGAGTGCTAGAGACGCAAAGATTTGCGCACTTATCTCACCAGACTACGAAGTCGACCAAAGTGGACTGCTTTTTTTCTGCCCCAGGTGGCATCAAAGAGCGAAGATCGTGGAGAGTCAATTCGTCTGGCAATTGCAGAGTTGCTGCAACAAGACGTCCAACACCATTACCATACTAGTCTAGAGGGTGGGCACCAAGGGGTAGGCCGTACAAACCATCGGATCAGGGCAAATTTCCATTGGCGAGGATGGTACCGGAGCGTGCAACGCTATATTGGCGAATGTATTGATTGTGAAACCGGCAAAGGTCGCCCGCAAGATCGAGGTGGATCTCCATGCAACTTGCAAGCGACGTACCAATTCCATATTCTGGCAATGGATCATATCCCATCTTTACCGCGATCGTTTAAGGATAATACTGAGTTGCTGTTGTGGGTAGATCTGTTCTCGGGTTACGTGATCGCAAAAGCGAGTTCGTCCCGAACTGCACAGACGATTGCAAAGAACTATGAAGAAAGCGTATTTCGAAGATTTGGTGCGAGTGAAACCATCCCTCATGATCGGGAGCCAGGATTTATGTCTGACAACTTTCGAGCTTTCAACAAGATTGCGGGGCAGAAGCAACGAACCACAATGGCTTATCGACCTCAAGCGAACGAAACTGCAGAACGTATGGTTCAAAGTCAAACGCGATCGATTAAGATGTATGTCGCTGACGAAAACCAAAGAGATTGGGATGAATATGCAGAGAGAGAGATTAACTTATGCGATTAGTACTGCACAAGTTCGAGTCCGCGGAGAGACACTATTTATCTAATCCATGGCTGGGACCCCCGATCGACGTTGGAAGCGGCATTACCAATGGGAAGTGTCAAACCTCGTGATCGAGATCCAAGAAGATGGACATATAACATACAGCGTCAGTATCAACAGGCAAGAGCAATCGTGAACGATCGGTTAATGATCGCTATCCAGGACCATTCGGATCTTCACAATGACGACCGAAATCTGCTACAGATCGATCAAGGGGCACAAGTGTGGTTGTATTTGGATCGCGTGAAGGATGGAAATGCTCGAAAGTTAGCCCATATGTGGCACGGACCCTTTCGAGTAATGGAAATATGCGGAGATCATGCAGTAAAATTGGATTTCGCTCCTTATAGGTTGCTCCCGATAGTACATGTGTCCAAGCTAAAGCCAGTGAAGATGTTCCCAGAGCGGCCTCAAAGTCAACTGAAGGTAGACGAGTCCGATCGGGTCGATTTTGACGAAGCCTTACTATTAGAAGATAGCCGGGAAGACGAGTTTAATGATGGTGAATTCGAGGTGACAAAGATTGTGGACGTCCGATCGGGTCGAAAGACGCGTTACGGACGAGTACACCGTCAATTTCTGGTTCAATGGAAAGGTAATAGCGATCCATCATGGGTGGATGAAGCAGACTTGAATTGTGGCGCTCTATCACGAGAATTCGATCGCAATCGGATAAGTCGAAATAGGTTCGAAGTGATGCAAATGCAAGAAGAAGAACCAGGAGTCTAGACCAGATCGAGGTGGATGGGGTGTGTAAGTGTGCAAGGAGGTTGCACATGGTCGTACGGTGGGAAAATCTACACCAGGAGGCGGTGTATGAAGGAGGAAGGTATGTTTGTAAGTATGTGTAGCGATCGAAGCACGATCGCGGCCCAAGAGGCCTGAAGTAGAAGACATTTACGGAGAGATCAAGATTAAAGACAGTATGAAGAAATGAAATGGAAACACGAAATGTGTTGAACTCGATAGACTACGGGGCGAAGAACTTACCGGATAGGAGAGGGGTTGACATGCCTGGGTGATTTGCGATCGAAGTCCGGTACTGATTACGCCATGGCTCAGCAGAGTTCGTCAGCGACAAAGCGGAAGCCAGGTTGGGAATGTTAGTATTCCCAGTCCCCAACCCGGGGTACCAGAATTGCTTCTCTTGTAAGCGAGGTAGGTGCAAGAAAACCGGGTCCAGCAGAATGTACAAGTCGCAATGGCCTTCTACCATTCCCTGGAGTGTGAACTAAAGTACGGTTTTCTAAGGAGGTCCGGATTGCGATCGCCGCTGTTTGCGCTGATCGCAGAATAATGTCAGCCCAGGATCTTTAACCCGATCGGCGGAAGAAAAGGGCAAGGTATGGGTTGATTCCCACAACGTCTGGATATAGCGCTCTTCGAAAGAGTGGTATAGGTTCAGCAACTGCTCGAACCACCCAACAAGCTGGAAAGATGTGGGCGCAATCTTCACGCGCAAAGATCTCCAGGGCTCCTGGAAATAAAGCGCGGCAACCTGCGCCGAAGAAATCAAGTGGGGAGACCACTCAGACATGGGAGATGATTTCGATTCAACAGGAGAGGCTGGAAAAGGGTAATGCTTGGGCCTGGCGAAATGGCGATAGAAGAACTCCAAATCCAATTCCAACACGCTAATCCAGCTCACCCGGCGTGCAGACCAAGTTGAAACTTTGACAGAAGATTTTGGTACGCGACTGTGATACCCGGGTATCCACTGATCGCGGGGCACCTTAGTCTTGGGAAGATCTTTGTACTCGGCCGAATACAACATATTATTGGCTGGAGCTAGGACGTCTTCCGTAACGCTGATCGGACCCTACAAACTGCTAGAAGCTTCGCCAAACAAGTCGACCTTGGAAACCTTGGGTTTTGGTCTAAGGGAAGCGGCTACTGGGGAGGCGGGGGGACCCACATCCGGGCTGGAGGTATCCACTACGATCAACTTTGGTAACGTAGAAGACGGAGTCGTCGGATTACCCAACGGGACTTTACGCCGTGAAGAAGAGCGTGATCGGGAGAGTGCATCCAAGGTTCGAGACCCAACATCCGATGAATCGTCATCATCCGAGCTAGCTGGAGCAGGCGTCGGATTGCGCGCTCTGCCTTTGCCTTTTCGAACACCAGGTCCGGGAAGAGCGGGAGTCTTGGACGTAAGTTTTGCTTGAGATCGTGTGGAACTGTGGGGTGATCGGGAAGGGTTGTTCTTCGGGGTTTTACACGGCGGAGAAGGCTCGGCGACGATACCGGACGCAGTCGAAGAATGAGTCTTGGGTGTCATCTTGACGACAGACAACGAGGTAGCCTCGATTCTGGCTCTCTTGATCCGCGGAGGAGGAATTAGAAAGTACTAGGGCGTTTGACACGAGCACTCGTAGATGGGGCCGTCTCAACTGGACGGGACGAGGAAGGTAAACTGGGGCCGGTAACGAGCGCGTCAATGCTCGTTCGAAGAACGTCGCAATCACGCAACGCCTGATCGCGCTCTAGCTCCGAACAAGAGATCTTAGCTTGAAGCAGACCCACCCGATCGTCACGATTGGAGAGCAAGGAGCGCGATCGGTCATATTCAGCTTCAAACTCAGCCAGATCATCCCAAAGTTGATCGCGCTCAACTGATACAGCGGCAAGAGCAGCATGCAGGTGGCGAACCGTGGTCTGAGCATTGGTACAGTCTGCCTTGTACTTGGCTCTCTTAGATTTGTCCTTCAAAGGTACGGCCTGGAATCGAGCATTCTCCTCATCCATGTGCCGTCGCAAGGAAGCCAGCTCGAGATCATGACGTTCTTTAACGTATGAAGTGATCGGGTCGTTTTGAAAAGTTTCGACTTTAGGTTGCTAATTTGCTGCTCGTAGCAATCCCCCGCGCGAATTGTCTCCTGAAGCAAGGTGAATTCAGCAAGTGCACTTTTCAAATCCAGACGAAAGAGATCACAACGAGTTTGAGCAAAGATCACAAAAGGAGAGGACGACTCAGTAAGAGAACGGAGTTTCCATTCTAGTCGATCACCCGCCCGAGTTTGCTCCCGCAACGCTTGCTCCAGATCGCGATAGCTATCCACAAGATCCTGCTGGGATGCGATCCGCTGATAAAGTCCAGCGATCATACCAACCGCGGTCGTTTCATCAACTATTGGTGCTTCAACTCGAGTGGTCGGCAACGGAATAGCCCCAATAGGGTCGCCACTTTTAGCAAAATTGTCGACGACATCAAGCGTCAACGCGGAGCTCATCGGATCAGTGGTTGTAGCAGATTCTCCGACCCCAATCGGCTCGTCACTTGCAGCAGAACTGTCAAGGACATCAGGCGTCAACGTGGAGCCGATCGGTTCCGTATTTATAGCGAGGTCCTCAGCAGGATCGAGTCCTAAAGAAGGGAAGATCGGACCTCCGCTCACCGAGGTACCTTCAACCGCGTCTGTAGTGAAATCGGGGCCAGTTGGGTGTTCGCGTGGCGAAACGTCAACACCGACCGAAGGTGCGGGACCAGATTGCGTCATCACCGAGGGAGATGGCGCACAACTAGTTTGTGGCAAGATGGGTGTGGACGACGGGGAAACCATAGAAGGCAACGAGAGGATAAGACGGAAAGTGGTGGCTAAAACGTGCACAAGCGAGCCAGATGTTGCAGACCGGGTATTTGTGCAGGGGCGATTGTGGTAAAGTCGATCAGGATCGGTGTCGTAAAACCTCAAACGTATGCCTAATCACGGAGTAGGAACCGGCGGAACGATCGTGGGACGAGGACCAATCATATGGATGGCACCGTTGGGATTATTCACGGAAGCATCTCATCCAGTCAGAACGGTTCCGAACGGCGAAAGGGACCGCGATTGAGGGACCGCGATTAGGGGACCGCGATCAGGGGCCGCGATCAAGGGACCACGATCTGGCGTGGACCATGCCCTGATGCGATCAGACGGTTGGTGTGTCAGGTCTGTATCACATAGGTACAAGAGGCGATCTGTAGAGGCGACGCGTGGCATCTGATTCTTTGATTTATAGGGGTAAGGTGTGAGGGTCTGATTGGTTAACATTAAACAGAGTTCAACTTGCTATTAAACATATTCGTGTCGATCTTCTCCAGGGTTTGGAAATTTTGGCGTCCCGACGTCTGAGAATCTCGACATCAAGGATAGAACGATCACTCCTGGAGCTATTTGGCCAGGAGTGCTAGGACTCTCAACACACCCCTACTGCTATCGGACGCAGACAACCGTTTAGGTTGAAGTACAAGATCGCGAGACGGCTCAAGTGGCCAGAAGGCTCGCGACTCAAGTACACATTTTGGCACAAGGTGATCAGGGCAGATCACGGCGACTCTAGGAGAGTGCCAACCCAGAACACGCGATCGGGTGAGGATTTTCCATCCGATCAGCACCAATCTCTACAATGGTCAAGTTTAGCATCTCGTCGAGTCCACCTAGAAGAGTGCAACCCGCCATGCCGACGGGTACATAAGGTGAGGAGGAGACAAGTGCAAGCGGAATCGGAGTACCCCCTCCGTTAGTCGGTTGTCTGGGCGCCAGTGGAGAGTCGGGATCGCCTCAAAAAACTAGCGAACCCACTCCACAACACTTCCTAGTGGAGCCTATTTTGAACCACCGCGATGTGAATGGCGTCCCGACGAGTTACCTCGTACGCTGGCGTGGCTATCCACCGGCCTGAGATAGCTGCGAGCCTCGTGCTCAGCTGATTGTTGATGTCCTTGGTCTCGTCGAGCAGTACGACGAGACCCACCCGCTGCGTTCGAAGAAGGGCCGTCGGAAAACGACCTCCCCGAACGCAAGTACAGGGATTGCAAAGTGTCGACTCTTTCGGCAATCTCGGAAGAGATGCGCGCCCTCCAGTAGGGATCATTAGGGAGGGAGGCTTCCCTAGGGGCACGGATCGAGTTGTCCATGCAACCTGGAAACGAAGCACCCCACGAGAGACAGGGTAATCCTTCCTCTCTTGAAAGCCGGTGCGACTTGTATCGCGCCCCGACTAGGTTGCGTTTCTCGAACCTGATGCAAGCTGCATCAAGTTTTTCGAGCCAAGCTTCACGGCCAAGACACTCGATGTTGTGGATGAAGGCATTCCATACCTGCACCAAGGCTTTGCCGTCCCGAACAGGGCTACCATAGTACCACCGATGTTTGAAGAACGCATCGGTGAAGAACTCTTCCACAGCACGGATAGTTTCCGTGCTGGAATCAGGTGGGCAAATCTTCCGGAAATCAAACGACGGGATTTGATCCCGTTTGGTAGTCGTGCCGGCCAGCCGATCCAAACTCTCTGGATGGTGGCATCCATCGAGACTCCACTTGAGGAGCGTGGCGCAGGACATTTCGGTCCCTGGCCTCTTGATTGGTGCCAGCATGAGCACTGGCACCAGTGTTACCCCGATCCTATGAGTTACTTTGCTCGTGGTGATGTATAGGTGCATCATTACCATCTCCACGCGTCCTATCGTTGGATTGACTTGCGTGGGGCAAGTATTCGTCGGAAAAATTGCTCGATCCGAAGATCTCGGTCATGATGCTGCCACGCTGACCAGAGCCAGTCAGCCTGGCACTTGCAGTGTCAGCCCCGGGTGATCCCGAGGCGTGAGGTGTCGCCTTCGAGTCGGATGCATCATCCGACTCGCCAGAATAGATGATCTCTATCTCAGACTTGTCTTGATTACGACCCGAGGTACCCGCTGCAGACGCAACGGATGTACCTGTCGCACGTGGTGACTCACCACGTGAAGGATTCACGACAACAGGCGACGAATCGCCTGCTGAGGCGTGAGAGGCATTTTCCGCGGCCGCACGCATGCGTGTAGCCGCTCTTCTTGCTGCTACAGTAGCAGCTCGCGTGGTTTTAAAACCATGCGTTGGATTGGCAAATGAATGGAATTTGACCAACAAGTGCTCCCTTTCCCAGAGTGATCCAACGGTGGTCACCCTGTCCCAATCAATTTTAATTCAATCAACGGGTGATTGATGGTTAAGGGGGGGGTAGTGTAACGGGGTAGGCTGTTACATGAAATTGACATAACGGGATCAATAGAGATATTTTCTAGCATGACACTATCCTACCGATATTATCCGAGGTGGATAACATTTAAGGAATATGATCCTCCTTTGGTAATATTCATTCACTGCTCCAAGATTGGTTGATAATAGGCGTATCAACCATGGATTACTACCAATCGCTGCTAGACGCGCGCAATGAGTGGTGAGCAGGTTGTCGTCATACGACGGCGTTGTTTAATGTAGTTAGATAAAGATTAAAGTTTTATTGATAGCTTAACTATATTAAATGCAGTTCTCTTTTCACCTTTACTTGACCGAGTTGTTCAAGTAGATGGCTTCCTCTGCACGTACTAGTGTACGTGAAGTTTCGTGGCACCCAAACAAAGGGTGCCCCGTTACAATTATTGTGTAGACGCGATATTCATTTTAGCAAAGTGCAAATATATGTATGTATAATAATGCATAATCACAGTAAGTGGTCTCAGTGTTTACTTAACGAAAGAAAAAGGGAGTGCATTTCACCAAAAATGGAGTGAACCTAACAACTCTCATGGTAATATTCGAACTAACAAGTATCAGAGTTAATTACATCTAACAGGCTCACCCCGTTACAATCAGCACTTGCTCTAGGTACAAGAGCAACTTGGTGACACGACCGTGTAGTTCACTACTGTCTCGTTGTTGATGTTCGACCAGCCGTCTGTCGTGAGGCATTCAGTCGCGTCATTCACGCGCTGGTCGACCTTCGTAATCAGCTCCTGATGACACTATGGGGGGGGTTGTGGTCGCCACCTGCTTCCGATTCGGCAGTTATCCCAAACCAGGACAGATTATCTTGATGGTCTCATTCAGATGCACATCTTCGATCCGCTGGAACGAGGTGCCTGTAACGAAGTAATATGACGCAATCTGATTCTTGTAACGGGGTGAATCGTTACATAACAATTTATAAGAAATTGTTAATAGAATATAACTATAAGAGTTATGCTCTCAGAATATTGTCATAAGGACAAATATTCTGCAGCACTTACGAGTAGTTCCTAATTGGTTGATATAGGCCATTATATCAACCAACGAAGACGCGCCACGACAGACGCACGCAATGAGTGGTGAGCAGATAGTTGATGTGCACATTTGTATTCAGACATAGTTAGGTGAGGATAAACAGTGGTTTATTAACATACATTAACTATTATAAATACAGTTCTACTTTTTACTTTAACCAAGTACTCGCTTCTTCTTACCGTCTTCCTCTGCACGTACCAGTGTACGTGAAGTTCCGAGGCACCGCCTTATTCTGTCATCAGAATAAGTAGCTTGTACTATTACCAGTACAAGCTTCAGGGTGCTCCGTTACACCTGGTAGCACTTCGTAGTCCTTCCAAGGACCACGTTCACATCTAACATGAATATGTTGGATGATGAAGATGACCAAAGCTTTCACGCTACGCGTGAAGGCTACTCCCATTTGAGCGATGTCGAATGGGACGCGGTTGAACGGATGTGTTCAACCATGGGCATCCATGCTCTTAGCGTCATGCTAGAGGCTCTCAATCGAGATGCCCAACATGCTACTATCGCCAAGTTCATTCAAAATGAACTTGACGCCGAACGCGAGAAAGTAGCCTTGCTTCACCAACAAGGTTCTCAACAAGCAAAGTTGTTGAGAGAACAGGGTGCTCAACAGTTTGAACTGGTGAGACAGCAGCAGGCTGCTGCTGGTGGGTTGAAGCACTCGCGTCGACCCGAAACTTTAAAGATTGACATCTCTAGGTATAGGGAGTCGAAGAGGACTCCCTCCTGAGATGGTTTGTCGAATTGGATGACGCCATAAGGGCGCGTCGCATCGATGATGGGGAAATGCAAGTTGCATTTGCCCAATCAAATCTGGCAGGACGTACCAAGACTTGGACTTTGGGGCTCAAGTTGCACGACCCACATGCTTTTGGGTCGTTGGAAGTCTTCAAGTCGCGGCTCAGGCAAACGTTTAAACCGCCTAGAGCTGAGTTCAGAGCTCGAACCGAACTCTTGAAGCTCAAACAGGGTAAGCGTGATGTGCACGCTTACGCGCAACATATACGACATCTCACGAGTTGTATAAGTTCCAATCCGGTGGATGAACACACGTTGGTTTCGGTGTTCATGCAGGGTCTTACGGATGGTCCCGTCAGGACTCACCTGTTCCTACTAGAACTAGATTTACTAGAAAAAGCCATTTCCATTGCGGAACAGGAGGACTTCAGTCTGAGACAGGCTCGCGCCAGCTCGACATCATATCGTCAACCGAGACGATATGACAGCGGAGGTCCAGAGCCGATAGAACTCGATTATGTAGAAAGCGAGAAGGCTCGCTCTACAGACTACAAGAAGTTGCAGAAATGCAACAGATGTCAGAAGACAGGACACTACGCTTAAGAGTGTAGTGCCCCTCGTCCAGTGTCCCGCAACACTGGGCGTAATGACCGTCCAACCATGAGAATGGGGCAGGGACGCGGGTCCGCTGTTGGTGCAAAGACGCAACAACGGGATGGACCGTCAAAAAATGGACAGGATCAGTAGGTGCGGAGCACCCTACTGGTCCAGCAACGTCAAGAGAATTTGTAGGCCTCTTGATGAAGGTTGCTCCCAACACACAAATACTGTGCGTTGCTGCTCTAGGTAATGAGGTCTCACTCATTACCTTGGAACTCGAAGTAACAAATAAGTTGTCCCTTCGAGCTCTAGTCGATTGTGGGGCGTCCAACAATTTTGTGCGACGCCAATCGCTAGAAGATGGTCACTTCAAGTTCAGTGAATGTGACAAACCTCCTACGAGGATGACGGTACGCCTTGCGACAGGCGCATCCGTAACCGTCATGAAGCGTATAGTGAAGATCCACTATACGCTAGAAGATGCCCAATATGACGATGTCTTTATCGTATTGGATTCGGATGACAAATTTGATGTCATCCTTGGAATACCGTGGCTCAGAAGGTACGAACCACGAGTAAACTGGCAACATCGAACAGTAACGATGCCTGCCGCCCGTTCATCTGATGGCCATCGGATGAACGTTTTGGAGCGTCCACAAGCGTGTGGATGTACTACGAGTGAGTGCGATGGCCTCACTTGTGGTACGGTTGTTACTACGACTGCACAAAACCTTAGTGTACCAAACGGTTACACTTCGGAGCAAAGTTCCGGCGGCTGTGATGAAACACAGGGTGCGCCGAAGGTCCACCAATTGAATAAGTCGAGTGGACCGGGACAAAGATGTATCCCTAGCGGGGAACTTCTAGAAGAGAAACAATCGATCGCTCAGGTTAAGCGAAACGATAATCCTAGATCGACTGGAGAGTCTTTCGTAGAGGATCTCGCTGTGGTTGCGCAACCCCAGCAAGAGGAAGTTAAGGGGATAAGTCCCAAGATTACAAATACGGCGGAAATAAGTTCCCCAAAACCCGCGGGAATAAGTCCCCGGGAACCCGAAAGAAAAAGTCCTTCGAGGCCTGAGGGAATAAGTCCCCAGGAAATGACAGAGACATTGAATGTCATAGTCAATGACGGATCAAGCGTAGGCGCTTATACACTTGATCTGATTGCGCCTCCGAAGTTGACTTCGGAGATCACTCAGTTGCCAACGCTCGAACATAAAAGGTTCTTGCGTGATCTGCGTAGTGGCAAAGTCAAGCAGAACTGCGTACTCGTCGCCGACGACGAGTGTGTAGCCGACATAAGGTCAGCAACGGTGTTCACTGAGAACGAGAGAGTTCTCAGTAGTTCATCTATGGACGAGAGTGTCCTCGATGAAAAGACACGAGTTGAGCGACATGACTCCCAATCGTGGGAATCGCTCAAGACAAATCCTCTCTATGAAGATTTGGTTGAATTCAAGGATGTATTCCCTGAAACTGTTCCGTGCGAATTACCGAAGGATAAAGGTATTCGACACGAGGTCGAGCTTAAACCAGGCTCGAAGTACTGTGTCATGAAGCAGTGGCCACTGCCTCGTGAAAAAGTACTTGCGATCGACAAGTTCTTTCCCGATCGTTTAGCTGCGGGCCATGTGAGGGAATCAACTTCCCCACATATCTCTCCGACCTTCTGTGTGCGAAAAGCAACAGGAGGGTGGCGGATAGTGCATGCATTTAACAAGTTGAATGCTGCAACGGTACCGGCTCAGACGCCGATACCAAGGAATAACGTAATCACAGATGGTATGTCAAGGAGTACCATCTTTTCGTCCATGGATTTGATGGATGGCTTCTATCAAATCCTTATGCGAGAACGGGATACACCCTATACCGCAGTGAGCACGCCTAGCGGCATGCTCTGTGAGTGGCTAGTAATGCCGCAAGGGCTTAGTAATGCCCCTGCCACGTTCAGCAGATGTGTATCACATCTGTTGAGACCAGTACGAGAATTCGCGCCGAGTTATTTCGATGACGCATTCATCCATAGTCGGGCTATGGATGGAAAGTCGGATGTTGAGGTTCACAGGTACCACGTCCGACAGGTTCTTACAATCATGCATAGCATCAATTGTATGCAAACCTCGAGAAGTGTACATTTGCAGCAAGCGAAATACCACTTCTTGGGTGCATTGTTGGTAAGAACGGTGTACGTCCTGATCCCGAAAAGATCAAGGCGATCACCGACTGGCCCGTGCCGGTCGATGTCAAAGGTCTTCGAAAATTCCTTGGGCTAGCGGCGTATTTGCACAAGTATTCACGCAATTACGCCGAGATGACTGTGCACCTCTCTCGTTTGTTGAAAAAGAACGAGAGGTGGTTATGGAGCGCTGAATGTCAGCGCTTCTTTGATGGTATCAAGCAGAGCTTGATACAATCCCCAGTCCTAGCAATAGCCGATCAGGACAGGCCATCTCATGTGGTCTGTGATGCCAGCGATTTCGCAATCGGCTGTGCTTTAATGCAGTACGATCTTGAAGGCGTTGAACGCGTCGTCTGCTATCAGTCGCGTCAGCTGCAACCAGCTGAGCGAAACTATCCAGTGCATGATAAGGAACTCCTTGCCATGAGGTATGCACTCGCAAAGTCAGAGTCGATCTATTAGGAGATAGACACTTCATTGTTTACACTGACCATGCGTCATTACGCACGGCAGTGAACAGCCTGCACCTTTCACAACGAATGGCGCGGTGGTTGTCATTATTCGCAGAATACAACTTTACGATCGAGCACAAACCAGGACAACTCAATGTCGTTGCTAATGCACTCTCACGTCGTCCCGACTTTGAACCAGTCGTGAAACCCAACAGTGAGACAGTCACTGTTGCGGTTATGACGTCCTCAGTCCCATCTTCAACATTGCATGATAATGTGAGGCGGGCATACGCCCAAGATGCTGAGATTGTGAAGTTGTCGACACATCTCTCCCAGCCATCTCGAGAATCGTTGAAACGATTATAGTCTGCGTATCGATCTGCATCAGATCGATACACTACTCGCAACGGGTTACTGTATATACAGCCGTTTCTGGTGACACACCACGTGTTGTCATCCCGGATGATACTGATCTGCGTCTGCGGATCATGTTCGAGTATCACGATGCTCCTATAGGAGGACACCGTGGCCGGGAGAAAGCATATCTCACGGTGAGTCGAGACTTTTACTGGCCCCGCCAGTATCAGTTTGTGCGAAAGTATGTTCGCGCATGCGAAGTCTGCCAACGAGTGAAGTCAAGTCCTTCACTGCGTGCACCTTTACAGCCTCTACCAGTTCCGGCTGAGTGCTGGGAATCCATCTCAATGGATTTTGTCTTCGGGTTACCCAAAGACGCACGCGGGAATACGGGTATTCTCGTATTTGTTGACAGATTCAGCAAAATGGTACACCTTGTGGCTGTACCAGAGACAATCACGGCAAGTCGCTGTGCTTGTGTCTTTATTGACACCATCTTCCGACTTCATGGGTTGCCCCGTGAACTCGTATCAGACAGAGATCCACGATTCACTGCTGATTTCTGGCGTTCCGTGTTCAAATCACTCGGAACGCGCTTGAAGATGTCAACATCTGATCATCCAGAGTCAGATGGTCAGACGGAACGTGCCAATCGTGTCCTTGAAGAGATACTTCGAGGATATGTACACTCCTTTAAGAGTTGGAGTGAGTTTTTGCCAATGGTAGAGTTTGCCATCAACAACTCGGTGCATGCGTCCACGACACATACACCGTTTTACGTGAATGGCTTGCTTCATCCGCGTGTACCCACCTTACTAGAGTGTAACTCTGGTTTAAGGGGGGGAGGGACTCGCGCGAGCAAAAACCGATTTGGTTCACGCTCATCACGCTCTGAAGAAGAAGTCGTTGCGTTTGATGCCGATATCGATAACATCGATATCGAAGAAGATGATGCCAGTGAGAGTGCGGAAGCCCTCACTGAAGAAAAGGTTGATGTTGCTGCAGTGCACTCACAGCGTACTGAAGCTAACGAGTCATCAGATGAGTTCATACTGGCTCGTGAAACGGTAGTCCGTTTTGTGCAAGACTCCATCGCCGAAGCGGTGGATAAGCAAAAGCAAAACGCAGACAAGAATGGAAGGGAAAACACTCTTTTATCTAATCAAGGTGACTTAGTCCTACTGTCAACGGTCAACCTACCAAAGCATGTAGTGACTAAATTGGGTAGTAGTAAACTACTACCAAAAACATCAGCCCATTTCGTGTATTGCATCGCCTAGGTAACGCATACACGATCGAACTGCCACGTTAGATGCGAACGCATTCCACCTTTTACGTTGGTCGGCTTAAGCCGTACCATCAGTACGCTGTTTATTCCGATGAAGAACTCCCTTGCGTTCGAGCATCTCACAGAGGGCCTTGTGCTCCCGATGGTGGCCATCGACAAGGGTCTGAAGAGCAGTTATCTCAGCCCGAGACCGATCAACAATCCCACGAGCTACCCTTAGCTCGTCACGCAGATACTTCAAAGCTCTCTCGTTCTCAAGCTGAGCAAAGGCAAACTCAGCTCGATGCTTCAAGACAGCGTCCGTCAGTTGGAGACGCCTGTCCCGCTCATGTTCGAGATCGCAGCGTAACCCTTGCGTTACGCGATCAAAGAAGCTCTCGGGAACACACCGATCCCCATGATCGTGTGGAGAGCGTCTTTCCCTCCTCCTCTTCCACCTCCATTAGAGGACTCTCGCGGTGGCCAGCGCTATCTGGTTGAGTAGCTGTTGAACCACCGCGACGTGAACGGACGTCGGACGAGTTATCTCGTCCGGTGGCGCGGCTATCCCCCGTCCTGGGATACTTGGGAGACCCGCTCCCAACTGATGATTGACGTACTGGGTCTGGTCGAGCAGTACGATGCAGCACATCCTGTGCCGCAGAAGGACCGCTGGAGAAAGTCTTCCCGGCACGGTCGTAAAGGGATTTCAAGTTGTCAATCCCTTCGTACATCTCAATAGAGATACGTACGCGCCACCACGGGCTATTAAGGAGGTAAGCCTCTTTAGGCGCTCGTGCAGAGTTGTTCACACAACATGGGCACGAGTCTCCCTAAGAGAGACAGGGTAATCCTTTCTCCCTAGACAGACGATGCAGCTTGTAGCGTGCACCTGTCGGGGTTCGCTTTTCAAACTTATCACGAGCTTTGATAAGTTTGTCGTTCCAAGCGTCACGACCTACATCCTCAAGGTTATGGATGTAGGCGTTCCACGCCTGAAGCAGTGAGGGACCATCACGTTTGTGATTCCCACTGTACCATCGATGTTTAAAGAAAGCATCGATGAAGAATTCATTCTCAGCGCGATAGTTTTTCGCGCTGGGGTCAAGGTGATGGATCCTTGACGAATCGAACAATCGTGTTCGATAACGATCACTCGTCGTCGCCGACAAGTGATCCATGAGAGATTTTGGAGGCATCCATGCCTTCTTCTCAGGAGCGAGACGCAAGACATTGCGATCCCGCTCTTCCTGCGATGTGCCGACAGAAGTACTGGCACCTCGTTGCGAAGTGGTGTCCATAGGAGAACCGACACCACTGTGAGCGCCCGAGTCTTGCAAATTCGAGCGCCTTCACTTCGGCGATGGTTCATCGGATTCATCAGATGAACCAAAGATGCTACGACGCATAGCATCATCCATGCCACGTTCGGCAGGCGGCTTGGCTTCGATCGCCGTCGATACGGACCCGTCTTCCGTATCAGGAGAGTATGAGACACCGAGCTCATACTCTGTGAAGACATGAGTGTCTTCATGACCAGCGCCTGCATCACCAAGTGACACAGGCTGGGTCGCTTCAGCAACCGATGAGACATCAGTTGCTGTGGTTTCTGCTTCGGCGTCCGCACAGAGACGTGCATACGCGCTCTCGGCGGCCTTGCTCGCGCATCGCATGGGCTTGTTAACCATGCGATGAATTGTTGGAAAGTGGACTCGGATCAACAAGTGCAAACCATGTCCCAAATGATTTGGGACGAGTATCCATTTAGTCAATCAGTCACTAAAGTGACTGATGGTTAAGGGGGGGGTGATGTAACGGGGTGAATCGTTACATAACAATTTATAAGAAATTGTTAATAGAATATAACTATAAGAGTTATGCTCTCAGAATATTGTCATAAGGACAAATATTCTGCAGCACTTACGAGTAGTTCCTAATTGGTTGATATAGGCCATTATATCAACCAACGAAGACGCGCCGCGACAGACGCACGCAATGAGTGGTGAGCAGATAGTTGATTTGCACATTTGTATTTAGACATAGTTAGATGAAGATAAACAGTGATTTATTAGCAGACATTAACTATTATAAATACAGTTCTACTTTTTACTCTAACCAAGTACTCGCTTCTTCTTACCGTCTTCCTCTGCACGTACGAGTGTACGTGAAGTTCCGAGGCACCGCCTTATTCTGTCATCAGAATAAGTAGCTTGTACTATTACCAGTACAAGCTTCAGGGTGCCCCGTTACAATTCTGAAACTTATGATCTACGGATCTGGTCACCTTCAAGATCGCAAATTACTTGTATGTATTATGAATGCTGCTGCTCGCCTGGCGCATGCCACGTTATGAGTGAGTATGCGTTTTTGGTGGCTATACCTTTCTTGTTTCGTCTCGACTAATCAGGATATTTACCATAATTCATGTCGTTCATGAGCGTGCAAAAAGTGACACAGGAGTTGAGATGCATCTTGGTGATCTAAATCTTTTCATGGTGATGCATTAGGATCTTGCAGTGCAGGCATTCGGCACTCTGGCATTTTGAAGATACACATAATTGGTAAACTAGTTCTAGATCGTGCTAGCGAGCGACCGCTTTTCCGTTCCGGCGCATGGACTTCTGTTTACAAATCTTCATCAACAACGAAAACTTCAAGTCCGACATGGCGATCTGCTCGTCTCGTTGCTGAAGGGCGAGCAAGTCTCGTCTCGTTGCTGAAGGGCGAGCAAGTCGTCGTTGAAGTTATCAACAAGCTCGTCAAACTGGCTTGGAGAAAACGACGATTGCGACATAGTAGTAAGTACGGCTAGAGGGTGCTAGTCTTACTAATATAATGACAATAGGACAGTTGTTTGCTGGTGGATTCTTGCAGTTGGAGGGATCAGCGCCCGGCCGAATCGTGCGTGAGCCACACACTTACCGAGGAATAAGACCCAATAAAACCTGATTTTGGAAGATCGCAGGCTGTCGCGGTTCAATTAAAAAAACATTTAACCCGATAGTAAAAGACCACTTGGTGCCAGCCCTGGACAAAAGTCGACGCAGCCCGCGTGTCGCACCCATTCCGCCAATGTTTGTGGTACACCGTGTCATGTCATGTGCACCACACCGTTCCCACCACGTGGCCATCAAACACCCCTCGCCGTGCCACTCGTCGTTCCTCCCTCACTTCGCGACCAGCCCAATCCAATGAGCAGCGAAGACGTTCCAGCCGAGCCCGTGGCGGCGATGGAGATCCCCGACGTGATCGAGCGCCTCCCCAAGCCGGACAAGGCCGAGCACGACGCCAAGATCGCTGCACTGGATACCACCATCAAGAAACTGCAGGCGCGCACGAACGTGATCCACGCTGAGATGGACGCGCTCAAGTCGAACCGCGGCGGCTTTGGCGGTCCAATCCAGGAAGCTAAGGCCGCGTTTGCTGCGTTGCGGGCGGTCAAGGACAATCTGATTCAGCAGCGGAATCAGATCACGGCACGTTTGCGCAAATCACGCGACGCGAAAGACTCGACCGTGAAGCAGCAGCGCAATTTGCGCGCGAACCTCAAGTTTGGGTCCGAGTCCGAGTTTACGGAGGCCATTGCGGCGTTGAAGCACAAGCAGGAGACGAGCACCATGTCGCTGAATGAGGAGAAGCGAGTGATCAAAGAGATTGAGCAGTTGCAGGCCCAGAAACTTCAGGTCAGCGCGTACGTGGGCGACCAGAGCGTCGTGGAGATGCAGAACGACAGTATCCAGGAACTGCGTACGTTGCAGACGAAGAAGAATGAAGAGATTGACGAGCTGCAGGAGAAGCTGAACAAGCAGAAGCAGGCACTGGATGAGCTGTATCGTCTGAATGAGGAGGAGAATCAGAAAGATCGATTTCCAGTGCTGTCGAAAGAGCGCAAAGAAATTAAGGAGCAGCTGGACGAGGCTTTCACTGCTTTGAAGGCCCTACGGAAGGATTTTAAGGACGCAAACGATAAGTACTACAACAACATTCGTCTCGTGCGCAAGAAGAAGGAACTTGAGCGTCAGAAAGAGGAGGAGAACCGTAAAGCCGAGTACGAGGCAAAGCTCGCCGTGTACGAAAAAGAGATGGCGAAGATCCATCCGTACCAGAACGAGATGGACCTTTGCGATGCTCTTGTGATGTTCATCGAGAGAACGTACGCCAACGAGCTAAAAAATGTGGGCGACAAGGCTGCTGATACTTCTGCCGCTCCTATTGAGCTAGATGGTATGAAGCCGTTGGAGCGCAAGGAGGAAGACTTTATGATGCTCGGTGGTGGAGGTAAAAAGGGAAAGAAAGGACGCCAAGGCAAGAAGGTCAAAAAGCCCACCAAGCTGGTTTTGCCGCTCGCGCAGATCAACGCTTTCAGTACTATTGGCCTGCTGCCGCCGACTGCCGTGGATGCTGTCTCGGCGACGCTAGATGCCGTGAAAGCCAAGAAAGCCTGGTTTAACGAGCAGACGCCAAGCTCGCAGACTGAGAAGTCTTCAGAGGCCGCTGTTGAATCTGCTGTCTCGTCCAAGGAGGCGTCCCCAAAGAAGAAGAAGAGCGACAAGAACAAGAAGTTTAATGCCAGCGACAAGGACGCGTTTCCCTCGCTCGGTGGTACTACTACCGAACTTCCGTCGTGGGGTCCAGGCATGGCACCTCCTATTGCTACCGAGTTCGCTGTGGCAGACGAGTTTGCTGGCGCTGACGTCGTGGTCGCTGAGTGTGCTGATGCTGATGTTGTTGCAGCTGAAACTGCCGGTGTCGTGGCTACCGAGTCTTCTGATGTCGTTGTCGTAGCAGAGGATGAATAGACCTACGTTGCAGGTCTTGTAGGAGAAGGCGAGTAGCTGAAAGCGGCAAGCTCTGAACAGCCAACGAACGGAATTAAGCACGCACTAAGGAGGGCGGGGAGTGCTTCCTTAACGCTCAGGTTGTCTTCGCGACGGTCTTTGCTCCTAACTTTAGCGCGCGTGCGACGACAGCGGTAGTAATACAGTAGATACTTCCAACATATGTCGGGCACAGTTGTCTGCGTTAGCAACGATCAACTTCAGCAAAAAGCTGCTGCATCCGCTCGTTCTTCAGCTGCTCGCTGGTCAGTATAATGTGCAGCAACTGGTCGGTCAATCGGTCTTTGAACAGTTGCGCTTCTTCCACTTCAACACGCGCAAACTGGGCGTCACGCTGGAGTCGTTGGGTTCTTTGCAACAATGAGTGCAGAAATCGCTGGTTGTGGGCTAACGCACGCTGCATCAGACGCAATTCTGCTGCCAGCTTCGGAACTAAGACGTCAAGGTGTTTCAAATTCTGTTGTGCCTCTTCGTCCTCTTCGTCGTCGATGTCGATGTTGCCATCATGAAGCGTGTCCCTGGCATCCGTGATACTTGGAAGAACGGGCAGAAGCTCAAAGCAACGAGCCATTCGTCGATTAATGAAGTCCAACGGCTTGATCCAAGTTGTGGAGTTTGATCTGGAAGAGCGCGTAGATGCTAAGGTAGCTTCTCGTATCGCGCTTGCCATCAATTTTCGAAATTTCTGCAGCAAACGGTTCTTTATCTCGATGCGCTCGGTCAACTCAATTGCAGCCTCAGACAGCTCATACGAAATGGCACAGCGCGAAGTCATGGCTTGGACATATGTTCTCTCAGCTGCCTCGATCTTTTGTTGCAGAACAATTGTGTCGCTTGCGACATCCTTGTCAAAGCGCTGCAGCGTAAAGCGGATCAAATCGAGAGGCTTTTGCTGAGCAGGGGCATCGGCCTCATGCTCGAACGTCGGGAAGAAAATTCGATGCTCGTCCGAGGGCGGCACTTGCTGCAACCGAAGGCGGAGAAACTGATCATGTGCACATCATGAGAATGTCAGTAAGTAACTTATTTTACCAACGCCAAGTGATCTTTTATGCGCATCATAACCTCAAGGTGCCGCTCTTCTTCTAATTGCTTGAGTCTTGAGCGCGTCACGTTGTACGTCAGAGCCTGCTGCACCAGCGATGTGGCACTACAAAACCACTGTTCGAGTCCAAGGGTGGGTTTCTTGCGGAAAAAAATGCTGCATTGGTCCAGATCCTATGAATACGCAGCAGATAGCACGTTATCGAAATGCGGTACGTTGGAAATTATAAAATCCGGCCTCAGGTCACCATCGTGAGAAGCTTGGGTCGTAGCTCTGCAATGATGGCAAGACCGACACGGTACACAGCTTTCCACCCGTCCACTAAAAAGTGGTCCCAAACGCGAACAAGAACATGGACTGGCAACACCCCGGCAAAAAGCGTTACAAACCACTGGCTCGAAAACCAGAGTAGGTTTTTCAGTACAATGTCTAGATGCCAATGATCACAAGATCGACACTACCTGTGTGACGAAGATGCTAGAATGCATTCCGATTTGATGGAAATGCGCCGACAAGTCGTAGAAGTGCATATTGAGAAGCTTCTGGAAAAGATGAAAGCACTGCGGCAATCTGCATACGAAAGCAAGACGAGCAACGAGTGAAAAAACGAATTTAAACGGCCTCAACATAATTTTTTCCGGAAGAAAAGATGTACGAACCCTGGCATTTTGTGCTTCCACAAGTCTGCCATACCCCTGCGTCGTATCAATGAGACCGTCAGCCAAAATGCAACTTCTTGTTCTGAGAGACAGAGTCCATTCAAGCAAAAGTCTGAAGCCTCTGCCGCATCTTTCGCCACGAGAAGAAGCGCAGCAACAACATAGTTCATTCCCTGTACACCACATCGACAGCTGTCACACATGGTAACCAGCCTCCACCCAATCACAGGTTCCAGCGCACCTGGCAGTATCCGATATCATCTGCGTGCACAGCAGCTGCCTTGAGTACATTTCCAAGCAGGCGTCGTCCACCCCCTGGCACAAAATATACCAGCGACTGCATCAATATAGTTTTCCACCCCACTTGTCATCAAACACTACTGCATACCCTCTTCAGAAAAGAAAGGGTGAGCAGGAAAAGTCCGTTCGATATCCCGGCTGATTTCGCCTTCAACTCCTGTCATCTCAAGTGTCGCCTTGTCCGCTAGATTGTCAATGCCTGCCAGCTACCCAAACCAATCACATGAGCTCTTTTTCTTTCGTGGTGAAGTAATAAGTGCCGTAGCTCTACCTTTAAATAGTGTTCTGTACTGCTGAGTTGATCTGGCACTATCTTTATCAGAATCTTCAAGTCACCAGTTCGCAGCCAATAGCTTCAACAAAGAACAACGCAAGAACCCAACCCCACCAGCGGCATCAGCCAACTACGAGATCCTTTCAATTCAGTTATAAAGTAACATGATATACCCGATCCTCGTCTTTTTAGGGAATCCACCGATCCGTACTGCCAGTCGCCATAATTTTAGACGCTTTACTATCGCTCGCAAAGTCTTATTGACGCTAGCAACGACGTCTACTACATCCACCTGCGAATGTTACAACGAAGTGGACATGAGCATAATGGATACGAGCGATAGATGGATAGTGGGTGGCAGATTACCTGCACCCATTCATGGCGGATGAGAATGCCCAGGACTTGTCCAAACGACGCATCAAGTGCGGCGTTTGATGGAGTCATTTTTGACGCTATTTACGCACAGCACTGTCAAAAACAGCGATAAACTGTGTGGTACACCTACAATTTCATTCCTATCGCAGCGCTCTTTAGGACTTCATGAAGACGAATGATGGAGTTGTGATCGTACGCAATGCGCGTTGTCAGTGATGTCATAGAATCGGTCGTATCGTACGTACTGACTTGATAACGCTCGTTTGCTTTGGTCCATGTGCAATTGTAGACTGGACAGCGCGTGACGCTCGTGCCATACGAAAAGGAGCATGTCGCCAAGTACCATAACTGGATGAAGGATCCCTGGCTCCAAGGTGCAGTCCCATACTTCTGAGATATTAGTTCCAGTATTGGCAATTGTTTTGTTTAACGATGATTTTAAATCGTGCCTTTCCTTGCTTGGATGCAGAGATGACGGCGTCTGAACCATTGTCGCTCGAAGAAGAGTTCGAGATGCAAAAGTCATGGCGAGAAGATGCCAAAAGTGTGTGACGGACAGAAGCTTGCAACCGTTGAAAAGTCTGCTTTAGTGAAGAGTAATGTATTTGTTTGTGACGTGTAGAGTGCACGTTTATCGTGTTGGCGAAGGCTGAGGGTGATGGCCAGCAGGAGACTTCATACGTTGACAAGAGCGCTATTAGACGTGAGCTGCTATTTTATGCTGCTGGAAGGTTGATAAGGTGGGCTAAGTGGTAGTAATGGTGGCAGGCATGGTCGGAGATGTCAACTTGTTTTTCAACGACCATGACGATCATCAAGCTTGTGAGCTTGAGGTCATGATTGCAGAGGAGAAATACCGTCGAAAAGGCCTCGCGGAGGAAGCAGTACAGCTTCTGATGGCTTATGGTGTGAATAAAAGCTGTATGCACTGTGCCGTGTCGACTTGAGCTGACAGACGGCTTTTTTTACCTGTAGCTACGGCGACGCTGAGCGTCTCCCGGTTCTTTTGCAAGATCATCGAGACGAACACCGCCTCGCTACACCTTTTCGACAAGTACGTTGTGTGTTTCGTAAAAATTCTAATCTGGCCGCCTTTTGCTGTTTGTCTAATGTACCTTCTCCACTCCAGACTGGGATATGTTAAGTACAATCACGTTGCCGCATTCAAGCAGGTAGAAATGGAGCTAGTTACCAGGGACAAGCATGCCAAACTTGTCGATGCAGTTCTCAAGTCTGCTGTCGTTTATACACCACATTTTGTCGAGTAGTATAATTGTGGGAATGCGACAATGGTAAATGAACCAGAAATTATCCAAGCTTGCGGCCGTACATCAGGATCGACGAATTACAACTTTTTTGGATTGAAGCATCACTTACCTTGATCCTCTATGCCACAAGACACTAGCTGATTCACGGCTAAACCTACAGCAAACAACAAAGAAATGAGATGTTAAAACGATGGAGGAATCTACGCAGTCTCGGCTTGATGGTACGCAAAAATCGAAGGAAACGATAAAAGGATGGAAATTGTAAAATCTTTTTTCGGTAAATACCGATGCGTTTTCGGGAGCAGCAAACGAGTAATTTCTAATTGGTTACATTTTGAGGTTATTGTAACATATTTGGGTAAAATCTGCAGGCGACGGAACAATAAGGTAGCCATGATCGAGTGAAAACCTAATTTATCTCGTACCTTAATTTTGTACCCATTTTGTAGAAGTTTGATTTCGCTAAAAGATAGTACATCTAACGGGCGACGTGAGGCAGATATCGTAATCAATATTGCCATTAAAATGAAGATTGTGCCTGAAATATGTGATCGCCTGCTCATGCTTAAACGTAAGAAGGGGTCTTGAGGACGTCATTATTGAGGTCAGCTCCGAGTAGTCTACTAAAAATAGTACGTGCTAATTTTTACTACTCTTAAGATCTGGCTCTTCTATAGCATCACTCAAAGTACCCTTCAATAACGATATGTGATTTATAAACTCTCCTCAAGCTCTTGTAACGCCTTTTGTTCTCCTTCGTATCGTCTACTGAAAATGGACGCTACACTTATGGCCTAGACTAAAGTTTTCGTAGAGATCATTAATATTCACAAATCAGACGTACAAAGCGACTGCACTCGTTACGTATAACTACGTCATCTTGGTAAGATTTGGAACAATCGCTGCACGTGTCCCCGTCAATTTTTATTCTTTGGCTTAAAACATTTATTTGATTTAATATTAACGACCCGAAAATGACTGTCTGACTAACGCCTACCCATCCCTCTTCGCTTTACTAACTACGTATTTCTGAATGAATACGTTAACACTTCTGCGGTGTGCCTTATTACTATCCAGCGCCACCTGATCTGCGTGCGCTGTCCCATTAATTTTGAGCCAGTGATCTAAGTCCCCACTTATTGCCTCCTTGATGCTTGCCCATTGTAGGGGTAGACTCTTCGCGTCCTCTTGGCTAATTTGTGTGCTCTTCTTCGAGTCCATTTTTATATTATTCAGTGCATTCGCCATATTATTGAAGGACGACGACGATATCACTATGCGGCCACGTTCAGCCGATCAGCAATTGTCCTGCTTGGTCTGTATAGGTCTTGCAAAAAACCGTGCTCTCAGCTCCTTCTTCCTCGTCAGCTGCCCCAGTACAAAGTTACTGTCACAGACAACGTAAATTTCGTTAGATTATTAGTTTAAAATTCCTGAGACCAAACAGAAGCCCCTCATACTGAGCCAAGTTGTTGTTCGTGGCGGCGACAGCCAGTGAGATGCTGCCCATCCATTGATGACCGGCTGTTTGAAGGCCAATACGCCGACAACAATGATGGAGCCGGCGCCCCCGGGGCCTGGGTTTCCTCTTGCACACCATTAAGAAGGGAGGATATTATAACCGCTGAACCTTGCTCCATTGGAACTCGTCTGCTACCCTCCCCGGAGAGACAGCAAAAGCCATAAGTACAACCCATGCCGCACGACAGACCTCGGCATATTGTGTGCTCGTCAATACGATTTTTCGTAGCTTTTGCCACCCTTGATGTAACCGACCTCGTAGAAGCGTAATTGATCGTTGATCGATTTGTCCAGCGTCGCGTACCTGCATCTTCGTCTGCGGTTCCCGACTTTCTCGAGCGTGTTTAGAAATCTGGGGCGCCAGTACTCGTCTAAAAAGGCATAGCACCAACCATGGGTATCCTCCTGCTGTGCCACTGTCAGTTTTTCGTAAAGCTGATGCAGTATCTCCCATATTCCAGTTGGCATCTTTGGCAATTTACAGCCAATTCATGGGAAGGGGTACATTGTCACCCACTTGCAATCCGAGTTCGATCTACTTCCCCCTTATCCATTTCTATAGTGGTCGCGTTGCACATCGCCCCCGCCTGAAATGCGCCTTAGTGATGCCGAGGTCTCGAAACTCCGGCAGTGGGCAGATCACGACTGAATTGAGCTGTATTCCACGTAGAATAAGCTCTCAACTTTATGCAGTGTAGCAACTGTGTCTCCCAAACCGTAGCACCTGTGATGGTACGGATGTCAGTCCACTTCACTGCTCCGAGCTTCTCCGCTATGTGCTGATCGTCCACAGTCCATGCTTCCTTATAATTGACCACTTCCTGAAGGTCGATGCAACGTTCACTCGCGCGCACCGTGTCTTTGTAAAATTTCCGTGCATGTGATTTGGCCTCTTTCTGCAGTTTTAGGTCTACGAGTCGATGCAAGTCCGGTTTAGACCAACCTCCTCAATTCGAAACTGCTGACCTGCCCACTGCTGAACAAGGTTGCTCGCTTCTAGCCATGAGCCCACTATACAGGTAAAAGAGGCAGGTCTTGATCCTTTGGTAACCGATGGTTACATTGTAAGGGTCACTACCAGAATGTCAATGTGTCGGCGAATACGAAACTGAATTGTTCGTGTTATCCGTTCGCTGCTGTGTTTTGATGTACCTATAATGCTCTAAATGAGAGCGTTCTAAATATGCAGTGGATGGATGTGGCTAGCTAGTGTGAATGCTTGCGCATTCGTTAACTCATGCGTCCCGGGACCGGACTCAACTGATGAAGGCGAATTGTCTGGTTTCTGTGCGTGCAGATCATTACAAATCCTATCTATACCACAAGCCTTTCCTAGATTACACGCCTTTTCTAGATCACACGACTCAAAAACAGCAGTGATTCTATTCGTAGAGAATAGTGTCCGGGTTTCTAGACCATCGTCATCATCCGTGGGTTCTGCCTGCATCCATTCCAACACGGATGACTTATCAGCCCTGGTGATTGAGCTTGCAGAATGGGCCTTAATTAGTCATACATCATCTTCGCTCGTTAATAGACATCCTGTTCGTGGTAGCCTTCCACTGCGAGAATAGTAGGAATAATGTTGACCTTCAGCCGAAAGGAGATGCGCTACAATGCCTTCTTAGTCTATCCTCTTCTCCAAATATGGGACCCGAAAAGCCTGCTCTGTCTCGACTGTGGCCAATTTTGCTCGTCTCCGAGATTACATGTAACAGGTCAGTGGTGGCTTTGCCATTCACTTGACCTCGGTCGTTATCGTTTGTTTTATTATGTGAAAGGTGCTGGCGGGTACGCAATGGTCAGCTGAGCTTTTTAATCAACTTTTATTTCGGATACTAAAGCGATGGATGGCGCTCTGTTGAACAAACTCTGATATGTAGTAATGCGTAAATGGTGTGACTTTCGGACTGAAAACTCGAGGTCGGCTACCGATAGCGCATAATCCAGCCAGGAACAAGTAAGTACGTGTAGGAAAGTGAGCACAAGAGCCACTCTCTCATGAATAATTCTCGCACTTTATATCGATGTTACGAATGGGAAAGTCTCCTTTCCGTTTACAAGTTGTGTGGTAGTGTGGCGTGTTGCGCTTGTATTATATCGGCAACATTTATGGTGTGGTGGAAATAGTAAAAAGCGTGGTGAAAATAATAATTCCCTATATTTAGGGAAATGAGTTTTTCACTCCCCCCATTTTTACTAATTTTACCCTCTTAAAACCAGAACAGGCTTTTTTTCAATTAACGCACATCGCGGCGCACAAGGCCACGCGCCGCGTATGCGTCGATGCACGTATTGTCCAAAAGATGGTTAAATCAGGTTAGAGCGAACCACTATGGAAACAAAGCTTCCGGGTTAAAGGAAGTTGATGACAAGTACGTCTCTAGTCTTCGAAAGAATAAATGCTGGAGATAAAGTAGCCAGAGAGTAACACTAGTGCGAACAACCAGATGACAAGCGAGAACTCAACCCGGCGGTCCATAGCTGTGCAGAAGGGTATCCTGCTTCATTCAAAGGTGCAAAATCTGCTGATGCACTGAACAGTGAGAAAAGATGCGGATAAAATGTACTGCATACTGGAACATGGTCTTGCTGCGTATCCCATGAGTGAGTGCAAGCAGATGAAGATAAATAGCGCAATACGACTCAAATGCTATATTACCGAGCCTAGTTTTGTCTTCCGATATTGATTGGATCAAACAAACTGTGGACAATCGCACCTTAAGATCGAAAGCGAAAAAAAGTCCATGCTTTTGATTGATGAGCCATGAATATCGCCTTTGCTAGCGGATAGTTGACTTCAAGACCCCACAGACTTCATCAATTTTCGTGCAGATTCTTTTGGGTGTCGCAGTGTAATCGTGTGAATGGCTGTGCGTAGGATTAATCGATGTAGCTGCTTAAATCGATTCTATATAAGTTGTAAAGTACACCCTGTTTTGGTTTTAAGAAGGTGGAAATTTCAAAGATAGGTGGGTGAAAATATCGTGACCCTATTTTTATAGCTGTATGTATATTTCCGCAAAAGACTAATAAACCAGTTTTGCCGTATTAGATAAGAACAAGCAATCGTTTCTTTTGAACGTCCACAGCTTTTGTAAACCCCTTACGCTCCTACCCTTTCAAACCGCAAAACCGGTATTCCAAACAGGTCCGGTCCATGGCACGAGGTAGCACCCCAAGCAAGTCGCGTCGCGCTGACGGGTTTTCCCGTCGACGTCGACGTAGTACCAGCAATGAAAGTACAGGAGATGGGGGGCAAGATGCAGATCATCATCCTGATGTCGAAGTTATCCGCGATTTCCGCTCGAAGCGTGCGTCCGAAGCCGAACAAGATGACAGTAATCTTACGCAGGAAGAACGCGACCGATTGCGCGATCGTGAGGAGCGAGACGCCTTCGCCGAGCGATTGCGTAAGCGCGATGACGAACACACGAAACGGAAGCGAAAAGTGGAAGAAGTCGATGTCTCTGAAGCCACTGGAGGCCTCACGAGCGACGAAATCAAGCAGCTCGCAAAGAGAGGGGCAGTTGAAGACGACAAGAGCGCTCTTAGTGAGAAGCTAAGAAGACTGAGAGAGTTGAGTCGACAGGAATATCTGAAGAAGAGAGAGGAGAAGGAGCTGGAGCTGCTAGAGTTTCAGCTGAAGGACGAGGCTGTTTTATTCGAAGAGACGGGTAAATCGAAGAAGGAACAACAGCAGCTTGAGCTCAGCAGGAGAATTCTTGATACAGCAAAAGCTAGGTCGAAGAAAGAGGAGGTCGAGGGGTATCAGATCCCTGGTTCATATGAAGAAGTGGACAATGAAGGCAATCGGGTCCGCAAGAAAGAGGATTTATTAACGGACAGGTATGAAGAAGAAGAGGTTTTCCATACGGAGCAGGAGGTGTGGGAGGAAACACAGGTCAAGATGGCCAGGAACAAGTTCGGAGCGAGAGAAAAGCGCGAGAAACAGACCGGTGAAGACGACGAGCTGGTGTTTGATGATCAGATTCAATTCATTTCGCAGCAGATGCTGTCGGGACACCACGTGAGTGAACAAGACGTTCAAGAAGCAAGAAAGAAGATGGAGCAGGCCAAGCACTTGAGCATGCAGGAAGGCAGGAAGCAGTTGCCCGTGTACCCGTATCGGGAGTCGCTGCTCGAAGCGATTCGCAATTATCCCGTGATTATCATTGAAGGAGAGACCGGGTCAGGCAAAACGACTCAGATTCCGCAGTATTTGCACGAGGTGGGATACTCGGAGTTGGGCGCTATTGGCTGTACACAGCCTCGGCGAGTTGCCGCGATGAGTGTGGCAGCACGTGTGGCGCAGGAGATGAATGTGAAGCTTGGTAACGAGGTGGGTTACTCTATTCGTTTCGAGGATTGCACTAGCGACAAGACTGTCATAAAGTATATGACGGATGGCATGCTGCTGCGCGAATTCTTGACCGAGCCTGATCTCAAGTCCTACAGCGTCATGATTATTGATGAGGCACACGAGCGCACTCTCAGTACAGATATTTTGTTTGGGCTTATCAAGGATATCGCGCGCTTCCGAGATGACATTAAGATCATCGTGGCTAGTGCCACGCTGGATGCGACCAAGTTCAGTGCTTACTTCGATGACGCTCCGATTTTTAAAATTCCTGGACGCATGTACCCTGTCGACATTCTGTACACAAAGGCACCGGAGGCTGACTACCTGGATGCTGCCGTCGTAACAGTGCTGCAGATCCATATTACCCAGCCATTGGGAGACATCCTCGTCTTCTTTACAGGTCAAGAAGAGATCGAATCAGCTGAAGAGATTTTACTGCAGCGCACTCGGGGTCTCGGTTCTCGAATACGAGAGCTGCTCATTCGGCCAATTTACGCGACGCTGCCCTCAGAACGCCAGGCGCAGGTGTTTGAGCCAACACCGGAGGGTGCTCGCAAAGTCGTGCTGAGTACGAATATCGCAGAGACGTCACTCACTATCGCTGGCATCTGCTACGTAATTGATACAGGCTTTTGCAAACAAACTAATTACAATGCGCAAACCGGTATGGAGTCGCTGCTTGTGGCTCCTGTCTCCCAGGCGATGGCGAACCAACGTGCTGGTCGAGCAGGCCGTACAGCTCCAGGAAAATGCTTCCGTCTGTACACAGCGTGGTCGTATAAAAACGAGTTGGATGAGAATTCTGTGCCCGAAATCCAGCGTACAAATCTTGCGAGTGTAGTGCTGCTCATGAAGTCACTCGGGATCAACGATTTGCTTCACTTCGACTTCATGGACCCGCCGCCAGAGAAGGCACTGATTCGCTCACTCGAACAGCTTTACGCTCTTGGCGCTCTCAACGGCTTGGGAGAACTGACAAAGCTGGGGCGTCGCATGGCCGAGTTTCCGCTTGATCCCATGATGTCTAAGGCACTGCTCGCATCCGAGAAGTTTGGCTGTGTTGAAGAAGTAATGACGGTGTGCGCTATGCTAAGCGTAAACAACTCGATCTTCTATCGGCCAAAGGACAAGGCGGTACATGCTGACAACGCTCGACTGAATTTCGCCCGAGGTGGCGGTGGTGATCACATTACGCTGATGAATGTTTACAATCAATGGGTCGAGACGAATTATTCCACGCAGTGGACTTACGAGAACTTCGTCATCATGCGCTCGCTGAAGACTGCACGTGACGTGCGAGAGCAGCTCGAAGGTCTTTGCGATCGCGTGGAGCTGGAGCGTACAAGTAACCGAAGCGACCACGAGCCGATCCGTAAAGCCATCTGTGCGGGCTACTTTTACAACACGGCTAAGCTGGACAACTCAGGGCAATACAAGACGGTGAAAAAGGCACAGCCGGTGTACATTCATCCAAGCTCGTGCCTCATCAAGCTTGAAGAAGTCCCGCGTTGGGTCGTGTACCATGAACTGGCATTTACGACGAAAGAGTATATGCGCAACGTGGTCCCGATCAAGTCGGAATGGTTGATGGAACTCGCGCCGCATTACTATAAAGTGAAGGAAGTCGAGGACGCTCGCTCCAAGAAAATGCCAAAGGCTGTTGGCCGAGCTGCATAAACAGCGAATCTAGAGTAAGTGGTTTTCTTAAAAGCGCAGGCATTGATTCATTTATTAGGAAATTGATAGGTAATAAATACTCACCCTTTGATGCGTACGCACCCATCCAAACTGTGTAAATTTATCATTTGCCACAAGTTGTAACGTAAATGCATAAAATCCATCTTACTAAATGGAACATCACTGCGACACTTGATCAGGAGAATGGTGTGACCAGGATATTGCGCAATTGAAAACTTAGACAGAAACAATAGACTATGCTTGCACCGCCTGCAGAGGCTGTCTACACGTCACTGGCGGGCGTGGATACTATTACTGCTCTTCGAAGATGTGCGGTCGTACGTCGACGTTACTCTCATGTTCGAGTGGTGTGCGATACGAACGATGATGATGTCGTGGACTCATCATTCGTATTGTCGTGTTCATTCGATCCGTCCACGCCATAGCGAGGAGCATTGCCCATGCGCTTCTGGTACAAACGAAAAGCTTCGATTGAGATTGCCAAGTCTGCTGGGCTGCCTCGACACTTGGCTGCAAACAGCATCTCTGCACTACAGCGCAATTCCATGGTTGTCATCTCTCTCTATATCAAAACAGATAAAGTCTTCCGCCCGGCGCCTACATCTCGTTCGTCAAACCACTCACCACCACCAGCACGTTACCGTTGCACTGCTCTAGACGGTCCACAACCTCGCGCGTTTCCACACCCAGAAAGATGTTGCGCACCATCAAAAGCTCCTCCGAATACTTGATTTCGTCCTCCGACGGAGCAGCAACCACTGGCTCCACAACGACCCGAGCAGCAACATCAACTAATTTAGCACCACAGGCTCGACAACCGCGGGCGCCTCCTCCACCGGAGCCGAAGTCCGGTCCTTTTTCGTCACCTGCTCCCACTCTCGGTGTCGCTTGCAGCCGCCATCGTCGCTTCAGTCGCCTCCTCGACGACCACAGTGGCCGTCGACTGCCGTTAAGTCTTTGAAATAGACGGCACTTTCACCTCGACCGGTGCCATGCTCTGCATCTCAACCACCACCTCTTTGGCAAAATCGCCAATGACCTCGGCCGCACACTTCAGACCTTCCGTCGTTTCTTTCATAAGCCGGTTGAAAGGCATCTCCTAAAAGCTCATGCTCGCTACCTGCACCGCTTCTCGGGCGTCCTGGACCGCCGTTATAAGCGCCTCGCTCGCTGTTCCAGCCCCGTCTGCACCGTCTGCTGCGCCTTGTCGTCCCACTCCTCCTGCTTGACCTTGCTCATGGCTACGTTCAGCGTCTCCATGAGCTTCTTTGTGGCCTCGAGGATGCCATATTCTCTCAAAACGCGACGGCCGAGCGGCTCACGGCTTTAAAGCGCACCGACGTGGGTGCTGGCTACAGCTGGCGACATCACGTGACACGCCCCCTCATATACTCGGCCTGCGACGTAACGTACAAGCAGTCGCCCTCCACGTCCGTGTGATGACCCACAAAGCTACCGGGCATAAAACTAAACGTATCAGCCAAGAGTGCCGTCATAGCCTCGAGAGAGAACGACGTGAGCTTCACGCGCAGATGGTGCAGATCGCCTGTGTACTTGATCTTGAGCGCCTTTTGCTTGGCGTCCATCGTGAGGGACTGTTAAAGTGAAGTGAAGGAAATTTAGGCAGTAGTCTTGGTCATGGTCGAGATCGCACTGCTGTTTGGTTTGGAGCTTATATTTCTATGCATTTACGTTACAATGTGTGGCAAATGATTAGTTTACACAGTTTGGGTGAGTGTGTACGCATCGAAGAGTAAGTGTGTACCTGCCAATTTCCATTTACTATTACTGCCATGCAAGACGGTTGCACCATCGCTCGAAAACTCGTTGAAGCAGCGTAGAAAGTCGTGCCAGTGATCGTTGTATCAAAGCGACACGATCCGTCTACAGCAGGAGGTCAGCAAGATGCTCTAGTTACTGCAGCAGGAACACATTTTGATAAAGTATTAGTCAGGCAAGTTCAAGAACATTTACCGACAAGTATTGACACACTACTTACAAGACTCGCTACAGATATTCCCGCCCTCTTCACTTCAACATTTGTCAGTACCGCTGGGCTGTAAATTTTGTACTTTGTACTGCATAGTCCAAAAAAGTAAAGTAGAAGCAGAGATACATTGGCCCTTCTGGAGCACGACACGCTATAAGTGATGCATTTGCTCGACAACGCAGACATATTATCCGAAAGGTTAGTGCCCTGCGAGATGCGTACCCACCGCAATCCGTTCGACGAAATCTCGTGCGGTCTTACCTCTGGTAAACACATTTTCTATAAGTTAGCAGAGGCTATTAGTTGTTGGATGATGGTGGCGTCGTACATTGGAAATTCTACGAAGTAAATTACAGAAAACTACAAAAAAATACCAGAAACACTATTGCAGTTAGTAAATAATGGATTAGAAAGTGAAAACTTTATCCGGAAAACGCTCTCTCCATTTCCAGCCCGAATTAAATCCACCCAAAACCAGCAGAACAACAGCTTCAAAGACCACACACACAAGACCTCACATTTTGTTCGCAAAATAGGTTCAGGTTGTGCTTCATGGTCTGAGACACTAAGCGATCCTGGTCGTTTGCTTATGTTGTTGTTCTTTGTTATGATATTGGTGTAAGTTTTGGCTGACCGTACCTTGATGAGCTAATCATCTCTGTTGGAGAGAACTAAAGAGCCCGGAAAGAGCTCAAAACCAAGAGATATTGAGAACAGTGTAAGAGGATAAGGACTAATAGGAAGGTGCTACAGCAGAGGAGGAGACAACAGTAGACAAACTGACCAAGTGCGAGCAACTTTCCATCTTAGGTAGTGCCTGTACTTAACATTTTTGTCCCAGGAAACCCACCGTTCTCGTCCAAGCTACTCCACAGCCTACAGGATGAAATTCGCAGTGCCAACTATACACACACCACCCTCGATGCTTGGCTTTAATAAGTTTACTCTTCCACATTTGGTACAAATTCTTTATTTAAAAATTCACATCTCGCTTCATGGCTATTAGTTACAAGCACAAGTTAGTGACCATAGAACAACCATCGAACGACCTCGTGGAAGCATAACCGTATCAAATAGCAGAGGTAATCAATTATCAGGGAAACTTTATCAGAGTGAGGAGACTGTCGTAGCGAAAACCGTACTATATCGCATTCAGAACGACGAGTGAATGAACGGATTGGATAAGAGTGAGTGAACGCAACTAATAGCGTAAAGCTTGTTCGAATAGATGAACGCTCTGGCCGTGTGATGCGCTGATGGACGAGCTATTGAAGTTCACTAGTTTGCTTGCAACATTTTCTGGGGTAACCCCTTTATACGAATTTCTGCTAGTAGTTGAGTTACAAAGTCACGTAATCCACTATTGGCTGTTGCTGTTGAGTGGAATCTTCCAAGGTCGATGCGCAAAAACGGTAGTGAAAGCTGCTAAAAGTTTGGTCCACTTAATTTTCAGATTGGACACGGTAGTGTGGTGGAGTGAGATTCGCTCGTTTACGTAGCGATCTTGACTCCCCACTTGCGCCCGGACGACCGACTAACGGAGGGGGTACTCCGGACCGTGTGTCTTGTCTTGTTCCTTCTCACCTTATGTACCCGTCGGCGGGCGGTTGCACTCTTCTAGATGTCTTGAGGTCGATGTCTTGTTTTGACCGAGTTGAGGATAGGTGGGGTGTAGTCGCGTGGTAATTCTTCAAATGACCGACGGTTACTGGTGGCACTCTCCTAGAGTTGCCTGACCTTCCTTGAGGTCGCCTTGCCCAAATATGGATACTTATCCCCCTTGTTCTTCTGACCACTTGATCACCTTGTCCTTCTGATCACTTGAGCCGTCTGAAGATCTTGCCTTGTATGCTTGCCGCGTCCGATCGCGGGCTAACTTGAATGAGTATACTTGTCCCTAGCCAAGCAATCTAGGGCCAAACCTTGAGTAAACACGCAGACACTAAACCTTGTACGTCGGGTGGTCACTAGTATTCCAGCCCGGAGGAATGCTGACGCGTGTCTTTTGTAGAAAAATCAAAACTGTTCGTTATTAACCTGTTAGGGGCTAGAACTACGTTTTCACTCCTCTTTTTCTCAGTTTTCTGTAACGTTGTTCGCCTGCCACCACCCATTCCCTGTGCTTGAAATAAACCACCTTAACTGCCAGCATGACCGCTGGTCACCCATCGTGACCATGGCCACTGGTCACCCATCGTGACCGTGACCACTGGTCACCCATCGTGACCATGACCACTGGTCACCCATCGTGACCATGGCCACTGGTCACCCATCGTTACCATGACCACTGGTCACCCATCGTGACCATGACCACTGGTCACCCATCGTGACCATGATCACTGGTCGCCCATCGTGACCATGACCACTGGTCGCCCAAAGTGACCACGACCGGTCAGTCATTCGTCGTGACCCTAACCGGTTGTCATAATCTGTGACCGCCACTGATGACTTGCAAACCGTCCAGCTTATCGTTGGGAATTTCTATAGCGGTCAGTCCCAAGACCGTCATGACCGGTCCCACATGCACTTACGAGATGATCAAGGCGATTGGTCAGGATTTCCTTTGACCACTTCACCACAGTCGTCCCCTGCTCTGCTAGTCGGCAGCCGGTGCCGATCTAGCTGAGCACTTTTTTTATCTGCCTCCCCCTGATCGTTGCTGGAAATTTCGCCTATATCTGACCCGGCCGTTGAACAACCCCTGCCTTCGGGTTCGACGTCTCCTCAGCTGAATCCGCTGCGGTCGGACACACCTGCTCCTGATGACGAAGATCACACTGGCCTTATACCAGACGCGCCCGATCTAAACAATTAGGCCCTGCTCCGGCTGACCATCTCACCGACCCTGTTGGCTTTTCGGTCGGATCTGATGACGCCCCGGCGGACGATGCTTCTTCTGCCGATGCTGATCCTGCCGATGCTGATGTGGGTAGCGACCCAGTGCGTAACTTGGACACTAACTAGCCTGATTAAGCCAGCTCGCTCCGGCTGACCACCTTGCCGACCCTTTTGGCTTTTCGGTCGGATCTGATGACGCCCCGGCTAACGATTCTTCTTCCGTCGATGCTGATCCTGCCGATGCCGACGTGAATAGCGACCCAGTGCGTAACTTGGACACGGTCGAGAATGACCAAGCCAGCCCCGCTCCGGCTGACCACCTTGCTGACCCTGTTGGAATTTCGGTCGGATCTGATGACGCCCCGGCGGACGGTGCCTCTTCTCCCAGTGCTAATCCTGCCGATGCTGACGTGGTTAGCACCCCAGTGCGTAACTTGGACACTGCCGAGCATGACCAAGCCAGACTCGCCCGGCTGACCACCTTGCTAACCCTGTTGGCTTTTCGGTCGGATCTGATGACGCCCCGGCGGACGATGCCTCTTCTGCTGACTCTAACGTGGATAGTGACCAAGTACATGACGCGGACACGACCGAGGTTGACCAGTAATCTAAGGAGTGTGAAGGCTTACGACGAGCGGTAGTGGAAAGTGAGCAGCGTGTTGATCCACTGCATATCGGTCTCGATGCGCTTGCTCGCAGCTTTGCACAACGTAGTCGGAAGATTGACCAAATGAAAACGGAGCGCGCTTTGATCCACCAAGCGTTTTACCGTTTGCGCTCACCCCACGCTGCTCATGTCGAGAATTTAGCACTGTTGCGAGCCGAGCGGGTCTGCTTTCTCGCAATCACCAGGCCCAGCTCAAGCATCTGGTCAACTTCATTATGGGGCTTCCGCCGTCCGTGGGGCTCGCTTATGAGAAGCGGCGGCGAGGGAGTCATCGGCCGATCCTGTGCCACCCCCGAACAAGCGTGCGCGCGTTACGGTCGCCTCGAGTTCGGTCGAACCAGATTCGTCTGCCAGCCCTTCCTCTATAATCGCAGGGCCCGCCGGCCCGACTACCCATTCACGATCGGTATCCACTCACTCCAAGTCCCGGCAGGCGTCTCGACCTCGCCTCGACGTCCCCAAGACTCCAGCACGTACGACCAGAAAATCGTCCAAGCCCAAGACCGTGATTACGCAACCTTTGTAATGAATCGGCGGTCACAGACGCAAACACGAGCGCGTGTCCCCTCCGCATCTCATGCGCGGGACAGCGACGGCTCCGTAGAATCTGCCGACGAGGTCATGCTCAACGCACTGTCACAGTCACGTTCTTTCCGTTCGACAACGGTCTTCTGCCTCGGCCACAAGATCTGCTGATGGATTGGCTGACACGCCGATCGAGATCAATCCCGCCAGTCATGCACCCGCGACTCGTCCGGCTTTGTCAAGACGTGATACTCGTGCTTCATCGGCCGTCTCCCGGTCGCCGCCCATCGCTGCGACACCTTCGACCGCAGAGCTACCCAGGGCGTCCAAAGAGTCCGATGGGTCGGTGAGGGTACCAAGCTACGATAATGCCCCAGTGAAGAAGCTTTTATCCCCTACCGCCTTTAAGGCTTTAACCCCGTGCGGTCCTCGCGCGATAAGTTGATACCTGGGTATCGCACTCGTGCAATCTATGTCCCTGGCCAGTTTTCGCCGTGGTCATTCCACCATTGGGCTTGGTCGCTGTAGGTCACCTGGACTTGTATCTCTTGTTCCACCACTACTCCTGGCCCAAGAACTACCTGTTGCCCGTTTCGGACGGTTCCCTGCGTCCGCCAACTGAAACTCAGTGGTCCCCGCGGCTAGTGACCTCCGCCCAGATTGCTGCTTTACACAGCCAGAAACCTTGGGAAGTCTTGAATCGGCCTATTGCGCCTGTGTCATTTCTCCCGACTGACTGGTTCCAAGCTTTGATGACCGCGTATCGTGAGTTCGAAGCCCATCATCGATTGGCGTTATGGGAGTCTACTCATGTGCTCCCAATCATCGTGGGTCCAAGTCGCGCGAAAGACCCTGAATTGAGCGTCTTCTATGAAGAAAGGCGTCGTCGGCGTTCCCGGTCCATCCCCCGGTGGAAGGCTGTATTCCGGATCGTGTTGGAGGGGTTGAGTGAGGGTCATTGTGACCTCGACATCCTGTTGGACCCCTTCTTCCTGCATTTTCCAGGACGGTTTAAGAAATGTTGGTGGTATCCAGGGTTTGGCTGTCGACAGACCAACATCCCGAATCTGGCCTCAGCCTTACTCCTTGCGGATTCCGCTGACCCCTGGCACAATCAATACAGGGCAGCCATTGCTGACCACCCAGGCTCGTCCATCGACCGTCTCATGACTAAGTTTGTAGCGCAGTGAAAGGTCGTCTCCAGCATGAGAGACCATGACGTTTATGTTCACAGTCATGACCACCAGTCGCTGCACATTAAATTTACTTCTATCGTAGTCTGTTCACCATGTTTCCTTGCTTCTGTGTACATCGCTTTGCATGACCATGTAACTCCTTTACATCCATAGCTACCGTTGTCATTCCTCCTCCTATCACAGACCAGGCGGTCACAGTGTTTCGTGGCCGCGGTCACCGCTCTTGGTCATCTTAATTGTACGATCACCATGTAAGTTGACCACATCACCTTTTTACAATTATGGTTCACGTGGTCATCCCTCGTTCTCTCACAGACCGTACAGTACCCGTGCTTCAAGGCCGCGGTTACCGACCCTGGTCACCCTAACATCTGAATTCTTCCTAATGTACTTGCATCACTTCGAAACGGTTTTGCCCAGCTCGATCATGTTCAAACTCTTGCAACAAAGCACCACAATTGATGTTTACCTCATCCATTCAAGTCTCATCCTTATGGCCCTTCCATCGGACCAGGAACTGTCGGTGTACTCTTCCGTACCGAGTTTCTTGTCCTTTTCTCACATCTCGGATACTATCCACCTCGTATTCTCTTTCGGCTAGATAGTTTTCCCAGCTGTCCTGTGGAAGCATAGCTTCGCCAAATTAACACGCTCTGTTTCTTCCACCTCCAGCCGCGCAGCAGGTCGATCAGGAAAAAATTCGTACTAGCTTCAGCTTGGATACGTGAACGATTGGGAATAACCGATACGGGGTCCCTTGTACCTCCAACCGCACTGCATGTTCCCCGCACTTCTCGATCACCCAAAACGGGCCGTGCCACATGTGAGCCAGCTTTCTGGCATATCCCTCCTTCACTCGATTCAAATAAAGCCACACTCGGCTACCGCAGCTGATTCCATTTAGCCCTTGATCAACGTTGTTCTGGTCAGCTCGGTCTTTAATGGCGTCCTTCAGTCGGTCATTCACCGTAGCGCGGGCTCGTTGATATTGCCGCTGTATGAGATAGCGCCATGGACGGGGATCCCGATCACGCATTTTAGTACATCCCAACGGCAGGGTCACTTCCAGCGTTGATCGCGGATCCCAACCATGGATAAGATAGAACGGGGTATCACCTCGTACTCGGTCATGAGCCGTATTGATGGCGAAGGTCAGGCGTTCAGCGTATTCGTCCCAATCTTGTGGGTCCACATCCGAGACATACATTTTTAGCGCCTTGGTCAATCTTTGGACCATACGATCAGCCTTACCATTGGCTTGGGGCCGATACGCCATTGTGGCACGTTGTTTCTGACCAGCGATGCGGTTGAACGCGCGAAAGAAATCCGACATGAATATGGGTTCTCAGTCGTGACGAATAGATTCACCTGCCCCAAACCGCCGGAAGACACATTCTTCATGCCCTTCCGCGACCGTCTGGGCCGTTCATGATGAGATAGCTTTAGAGATCACGTATCCAGAAAATAAGTCCACCCAAAGCAACAGTTCGGTATTCCCTTTGAACGACCTATGTAACGAGGGGATGAGATCCATTGCAATGATCTGGAACGGGTACTGGCCTGTAAATTCCCCGTGGATTCTACTCGTAGGATCGGACATCCTTTCCCGGTTTCGCAGTCGACGCACTTCCCCACATACTGCTGCACGCTTCTAAACAAGCCTCTCCAACGAAAGTGCGATCGTACGCGATGATACGTTTGACCTACCCCTTAATAACCACCTTCCAGACTTGTATGGTAGTGGTGTAGGACATTATCTTGCAGTAATTCTGGAGACACCAAACGGACGAGATCCGCGCGGTCACTGGGGTTTGCTGCCGCTCGTGGGCAAAAATATAACAGTCCACCTTCATCCATCACGTAATATGGGGCAATAACCGCACTTGCTTTTGCTTCCGTAGTATCCAATTCGGTAACATCCCCGACTAGGTAAAGGTTGAGGTTGGCAATCCAGCTTTCTTCATCTTGTGCTTGCTTTATACGATCCAGTCGCATCTGTTGTATTATTTGCTCTTGCATAATCGTGGGTACTTCACGCCTCCGTATAGCTGATTGTGGGATCGCCGTTATCCCGGCCACTTGCTTGTTGGTCGCTGGTACTAATAACTCGTCCAGTCGGTTCATTGCTTGTAAATCATGGCAATCCTGCTCCGTTAGTCTGACCATGCCATTTTCGAGCTGTAAAGCGGAGCTAGCCAGTCTATCAACACTTTAATTCCAATCGCGCTTAACATGTAAGAAATCATTATCCGGCCATGATCGCAGTAGATCTAGGGCCTTGAGACGTAGTAACTGCAGTCCCGGTGCCTTGCAGTCAATTCCACCCCTCATCTGCCTGATGAACAGGTTGGAATCCCCACAAATGACCACTCGTCCCCTTGTCTGCTTGGCCAACAACTCGCAACTCAGCAGCAACCCATGGTACTCTGCCTCGTTCACGGTCAATCCAGTGTCGAATCGCGACGCAGCCGATGCTATAGTCCACTCATGAAGCTTCCATATTATTTCACTGTAGGCGCCCCCTTTATGCTTGATTCGGGCTGCTCCATCAAAGCTGACGACAAGAAGCGAATCTTCGCGGCTGACCGTAGGGGGCGGCATACTGATAATCTGTCTCGGTTGCTTTCGGGGCGAGATCGCGATCAGCATATCATCTACATCCTCCCGTGGTATGATAATTGCGGCAAGAATGCCAAGAATTTCGTCCTCCCCCTTGTTGCATCGGTTAATCTCCAGAGTCCAGGTTGACATAGCTGCCCATCTTCCAAGTCTCCCGTTAAGGCCCGATGATTGCATCAACCACGCCAGAGTTGAATACCGTGTGAGCACCTTAAGGTCCCGCAATACTAGTAGTGTATAACAAACACCTGGTATCCGTAGCAGGGCCACCACACCGTAGTTAATTTCATTCGGTTTTAACGTGATACTTGTAAACATTACAGGCCAAGTCACTCCGTCGTGTTCTTGCAAAAAGCTGCGGATACCGCCCATTTGCTGGCATAAACCACTATCACTGGCCAACGATCAGGGTCAAATGTCTTAGCACCGGGGTCTGGGCAATTTTTGCTTTCAGCGTTGTTAACGCGATCACTTCTTTTTCCCAACGATGACCGCTTGCATGTTCGCCATTAGACCCCTCTGTATTCGGTTGGTCATGACCATCCATCTTTGTCATTTTTTATCACAGCTACCCACCGGCCTCAGACCATGGTCATCGTCGATCTGGGTATCACCATCCTGGTTTTGGTTTGTTGCATGATCACCCTCCGAATTGTCTAACCGCCTCATCTCGTGAAGGTCCGCCTCTATCAATTCATACAGGACTGAGGCGCATATGGCGAAATCTTCATTGAATTGGCTGTAGTAATTCAAGCTTCCCAAAAAGGACTGTATTTACCGCAATGTTTGGGGAAATGGAATATTGACCAAAGACTCTAGATCCTTCGGGTCGGCTTCCATTCCTGATATCGACACCTGATGCCCGAGATACTCAACCTTGCGTCGTCCCCACACACTCTTAGGGAAAATTGATCGACAAATTCCACTGATCACAGAATGTTAACAGTCTGTTTACCTTTTGATGTAGGGACGTCCAGGACGACGCCGGGATTAGAATGTAATCAATATAGGACCTTCGCCCCAACACTAAAGACTTTCGATGCGGGTCCGGATTGCCGTGCGTGAACACGTCGACCGGTCGTGACACCTCGCGACCACTTAAACCCCGCTGTTTACCGATCGTAAGATACCCGTACAATGCATTATCCACTATACGCTGGTATATCTGCGGCGCGTTTTTCAACCCGGACGACAGACATAGTCATTCATACAGACCTGAAGGCGTAATAAACGCAGAAATCATTCGTGCTCTCTCCGTCATTTATACAACCCATATTCCGCTGGCCATATCCAATGAACAGTACCATAGCGCTTTGTTTAGGTCCTGCAGTAGGTCGTTAATCAAGGGTATGGGATACACTATCAGCCTCGTCAATTGTTGACTCGTTGGTAATCTATACATTGTCATATGTCTACCCCATTCTTTTTTACGATCACCACGATCGGCGATGCCCACGGCGAGGTTGAAAGGCATATAATGTTCGCCGATAGTAACACTTTGATCAGGTCCGCCAACTTTTCACAGAACAAAGCGACAGGCCTCACTTGTTGTGCTATTCGGGTCGCCCCTCCCACATCTATGTCACATATCACGCCTCGAGCCGCAGGTGGGAGGGTGTTTACCTTGCCCATCAACCGATGTCTTTTCTTCCAGATCAGCTGGCGTAATTCTTCTTGCTCTTTCGTCAATGGAACCCCTGGTTCGCCCACCTGTATATCCTCAATCTTCACCTCGAATAGCGTCGTGTCCACCTCCGGTGAGACTGCCATGTGTTGGCCAACATATTTCACGAATAATGTTCCACCTGAGTGTTGGTATGACATGCACTCCTGTTCTCCTTAGCCGGCGACCGCTGCTTCTTGGTCTCCTAGATGGTTGGGCGGTCGATACACCTCCTCATCCCCAACAGTAATTACATCTGGGGAATCAGGGGACTTGTTTTGCATACGATCAGGTACCATATCCTTGATCGATTCGGGGGTGAGCTTCTCTTCACACTTGTGTGGGAGCGATTCGGACTGGTAGTGCACCAACGTCGTATCATTCATCGCCTCAATAGGGTTGACCAAGTCGGCGGATATTGGTGATCGCGTAGAAACTCTCTCTAGAGTTCTTTCGTTTGTTCCTGCCGATCATGTACTGAATCACAACCCTATCACGTGTGGTGATCGTGTTAATAGATACTGGAGATCGTTCTGGTTGTAGTCCTTCTTGATCCTCCTGGTCATCCACCTGGTCACATGTCAGTACACTGTTTTAACAATCCGCTTCCTCTCTCCCCGCAGTCATCTCTACCACATCCTGTGGGGGTCGTTTCAGAATCCGCGTTGGTGTTGGGTAAGACTGGCGTTCGACCAACGGTCCTTCTGCTTCCGGCACTCCTTCTGCTTCATCTCTATCTGTAGAAGCTTCGTATGCAAGTTTTTGCCACTCCTGATAACGACGTGAACCTACCGACACATACCCGGGTGACCGTGGTATCATGTCCGCCGGCATCCATTGCCCGAACGGCGTCCCCTATCGGATAATTACCTCTTGAATAGGTTGGTTAGGCGGAGGTGCGTAAGTCTTCCGGGTCCGGTCATAGCCGTGGGTACTTAACGTGCGTGGCGCATTAACCACAATTCAGACTGCAGTGGTCCCCGACCAACATTGACCTCCACTGCAGTGGTCCCCGACCAACATTGACCTCCACTGAGTCACCCACCGGTATCGCCAAATACTTCTCATCCGCCGCAATTCGTTGTATCTTCTCCCCATATGGTGATCTCCTACTTTCCAGTTAATTTCAGACTTCATCCGGCAAGAACACTGTTCCGTCTGCCAGGTCAAGGCGTATTCCAGCCGGTACCATGAAATCTATCCCTAGAATTGCTTCTTGTACCACTTAATTACCCATCCATACATCAAATGAGTAAACCAATGAGCCATTCAGCGTGATCTTCACCTTTTTTCGGCCTTCTGCCATGTATGAATTTTCCCCGATACCCACGCATTCTTGCTTCTGACTCTCATCTATGACACAGCCAACCTTACGAGCAAAGGTGGTGTCGATAATTGAGACTTCAGCTCCCGAGTCAAACAATAGGGTGGCATTCTCATTGTTGATTTTTCCTACCGCCTTGGCTTGCCTGAACCACTTGTTTGAAGTATGGTACTTCCAGTAACCACGTGATTCGACAGGAGACAACTTGAGTTCCATCTTTGTAGGTGATCGTGCGATTGCATCCGGTCGCCGCAAACTTGCAATTGATGGAAGAGGACTAGAGTCCAAATCACATGTACTGAAAGTCCGGCCGGTCAGGCAATTAACACTGTTAGCAACCCCTCCTTTCTCAATGAATGCATATATGCATATCCTAGAACGCTCGGATCGTACCAGGTTCCAACCTGGCAAACCAAAAAAAATCCGGCGGCTATTGTGCCCAAAAAAGGTAAAAAATTTAGAGATAATAATAAAATAATTAGTATAAAATAATTTAGAATTATTTATTTAATATTTCTAATTTTTCAAGAATTTGATCTTGATTTTCTAATTAAGACTCATTCGTCATTATTTAAATCGATAAAATCTTTTATTACAAATTTTAAATATTTTATTATTCCCATATTTTTTTTGTTTTACTATTTAATCTTCTAAAATTCTAAATTGACCTATTGTTAGATCATCTTCTTGTATCATATAACTTACTGGTAAAACTTTTTCATCGGGCAGTTGCCCCCGTCGTGCTCTTCTCCACACACTGCCCATCCGTAGGAGCACTTGTCGTAGGGGTGACCTCGGCGCCCGCATTTCTGACAAGTCAGGCGTTTTCAGCATCCCTTGTCATCATGTCTTTTGGAACCACAATGAGTGCACGACTTGTGCCCTTCTGCACGCTCGTGATCACGTTCACGGTCGTTCGTTATTGGCTTGGTCGGACAAACACTTCCCCGGTCCTTCATATGGTCGGCTGCTGTGGCGCTGTAAACACGTCGTTGTTCTTCGTCTGATTCCGCACTGTTTGTATCTGATTCTGAAGAACTTCTCTCGCCCCCCACGTGGATTGCACGCACAGCTCGAGCCGGTTTGGATGGACTCAGAGAGTATGGCGACGCTGATCGTGGGCGGAACTTGCCTGAAATGATCGTGAAATTGCCTTTGCGCTTTTGCATACGTTCATATGTGTGCAGCGTTAACTCCCGCGTATCTACGTCGTCCAAACGCAGCAAGGTCAATTGCATTGCGAGATTGTGGTCATCCACTGTCTCTATATAGTGTTCCACGTGTTTTCGGCGGTCAGCGACGGTCCCGTCCTTCAAGTGGATTTTCGCTCGCATCCCAGCAACGTTCAACCGACAAAGGTATTCTAGCGGAGTTTCATCGGCACGTTTGCATGCGTGGTAATACTGGCGACCAGCAGAGATGCCGCGTCCACAGTATTGTGGTAGAAAACTCTCCAGCAATTCTTTCCCTTTATTGCGTGTTAATCGGCTTAGCTGAAGGTACCAGTTTCGGGCTGGGCCTGTTAGCAAATCTCCAAAAACCAAACAATTCTCCGAATCGGGTGTTTGATCACGCAAGAAAGCTGATGTGACCTTTCGCAGCCAGCTTCGAGCGCGGTCGTCATTGTGATTGCGGCCTGAAAACTCCTTTAAATCGGCGATCGCAGACATGCGAATCCGCTGCATAGCAAATCCTTCTCCCATAATGGCTTCCGTAGTAGCCAAGTGAGGTCGACGGACGCCGTCGATGTCGAGGTCGTAAGGTTCAAAGGCGTCACCGTGACTACCATGCGAGTCAGCCGATTCCATGTCCGTGTCTGGCATACCTACCCCGAACACCTTGTGGCTGGGGTAGGGGCGAATGGTCGGCTCAGAATGTGGCGGCTAACGCTGTTGGTCTCGCACAAAATTTTCCATGGCCTTTGCAAGGTAGATTTGCATCTGTTCGGGCTCATCCATAGCATCGACTGGCTCTTCGGTAGTCTGAACTGTCCGGTGGCTGGAGTCGGATGCTCGTGGCGGTCACGTAGAAGTGCTGCACCGGAAGGTCCTAACGACATTCGCTTTATTTCCAAGTCGTCGCTATTGTCCGCAATCGACTCCGCCAAAGCGTAATGTGACGACGCCGCTGGTGAACAGTCTTCCTCTTTGGTTGTGATACTAGTCGTGAGCTTGCGGTCAGCGGAGTCATAGTTGCCGGTCAGTGGGACCAGCGCTTTGAACAGTGATCGGCTGACCGTAATCACTTGATCTAGGTCTCAGTCAAGCAGAACCTGCTCGTCAAACACCCCGGCACAAATCCTGCGCCTTGTAGCAGTTGAATGAGACGTTGCACTGCTTCCATTTTGCTAGTGGCTGCTTGTGGAGTCGATGTCGGTCCCCGAAGCGGTCCGATCAGCTCCGGTTCCAAGATGGTCAGCCTGGGGTTATAGATAGCAACGCTTGAAGCTGGGTCCAGTGCAAACGACGTTGCAGCTGATCGATTTTCCAACCTTCCATCTTGACCTCTACTGCCCTGCTTATTTCTTGATCATCACCCTCGGAGTCAGGCGCGCGTAGCTTGGGAGCCGTAGCCTGGTTTTTTTCTTTTTCTTTGTGTATGGTTTTGTTTTTAGACGCAACGTGTCCTGCTTTGGATGAACGCGTTTCACCTAGCGGGCCGTACTTTGCAGTACGATCCGCGGTGGTCCCCGAAGGGAACTCAGGAAGGAAAAGAGGTTTTTCTTCTTCGAGATCATTTTGGCGATCTTCCTCTTTGAATTTCGATTCGTTCGATCCCCTCCTAAAATTCTGCCGAACCGAGGGTCCTTTATAATCACGTGTCTGCGAAGATCCCTTCTTCACCGACACTTCCTTCCCCAGTTCAATCTTGACCTTGACATCCTCAATCTGAACTTTACGTTAAAAAATCTCGAGGCACCAGAAAATCCGGGCACGCGCACCATTGTGGTGGAGTGAGATTCGCTCGTTTACGTAGCGATCTTGACTCCCCACTTTCGCCCGGACGACCGACCAACGGAGGGGGTACTCCGGACCTTGTGTCTTGTCTTGTTCCTTCTCACCTTGTGTACCCGTCGGCGGGCGGTTGAACTCTTCTAGGTGTCTTGAGGTCGATGTCTTGTTTTGACCGAGTTGAGGATAGGTGGGGTGTAGTCGCGTGGTAATTCTTCAAATGACCGACGGTTACTGGTGGCGCTCTCCTAGAGTTGCCTAACCTTCCTTGAGGTCGCCTTGCCCAAATATGGATACTTATCCCCCTTGTTCTTCTGACCACTTGAACACCTTGTCCTTCTGATCACTTGAGACGTCTGAAGACCTTGCCTTGTATGCTTGCCGCGTCCGATCGCGGGCTAACTTGAATGAGTATACTTGTCCCTAGCCAAGCAATCTAGGGCCAAACCTTGAGTAAACACGCAGACACTAAACCTTGTACATCGGGTGGTCACTAGTATTCCAGCCCGGAGGAATGCTGACGCGTGTCTTTTGTAGAAAAATCAAAACTGTTCGTTATTAACCTGTTAGGGGCTAGAACTACGTTTTCACTCCTCTTTTTCTCAGTTTTCTGTAACGTTGTTCGCCTGCCACCACCCATTCCCTGTGCTTGAAATAAACCATCTTAACTACCAGCATGACCGCTGGTCACCCATCGTGACCATGGCCACTGGTCACCCATCGTGACCGTGACCACTAGTCACCCATCGTGACCATGACCACTGGTCACCCATCGTGACCATGGCCACTGGTCACCCATCGTTACCACGACCACTGGTCACCCATCGTGACCATGACCACTGGTCACCCATCGTGACCATGATCACTGGTCGCCCAAAGTGACCACGACCGGTCAGTCATTCGTCGTGACCCTAACCGGTGGTCATAATCTGTGACCGCCACTGATGAATTGCAAACCGTCCAGCTTATCGTTGGGAATTTCTATAGCGGTCAGTCCCAAGACCGTCATGACTAGTCCCACACGCACTTACGAGATGATCAAGGCGATTGGTCAGGATTTCCTTTGACCACTTCACCACAGTAGGCTGCACATCTTTGTCCACAAGTCTCTTTTTTTAAGGGCGTGTCTGCAACAGGATACACAAGCAATTGTGATAACTAGGTACATTGGTATTGTACACACAGAAATAGATCAGCGTCACTACTCAAGTGGATTTTTATATCACATACGCTAAGCGATCCGTACCCTATCGGTCATGGTTAAAGAGTATCTATCGTAAGAGGGTATCCGTAGAGGTAACGTAGTTTTGGTGTTGTACACAAGAAGTACTACGATTAGGACTATTCGATTCGGTAGCATAGTTAAAGGTCAAAGATGTCAGTAATGTTTATTATCGCTATGAATCGGAAAATTCAGCTCCCCTTTTAATCAGTTACAGACACGTGTCTTTTTAAGAATTCTTTGGTCAAAAGAGTTAAGTGCATGAGTTAAGGCTAAGTACTCTTGGACATTAGTGCCACGTCATTCCTTGGAGTCGTAGTCCCCTAAACCAGGACCGGAAGCTTGAGAGCTTGCACCTATACTTAAATTTAAGTCTCACCAAGTCTGCAAGACTGGAGACCTTTTAAGTGAATACACGCTTAGCTCAATACAAAAAGAGACTCTACAAGTCCAGAATTCTTCCTCTGACTAAGGAGCTAGGGTAGCTCCGCTACACTTGGTAGAACTTGTAGTAAATTTACATTCGAATCTGATAAAGACTGTTCCTCGGTAAAATGAAACCAAGATAAACCTATGTACGGCCCAAGGATCAGCAGTAAAGAAACATAGAGCGCTAGTTGGGAACGAACAAGTTCATCTGGTCCTCGCGCAAGGTCTCGGTGTGATTTGTGCACATCTTGACACTGTCATAAAAATTTGATTTCACTTTGATTAAACAGATACACGAACATTTGGCTTTGCCTACTCGATATGTCCCCGTACTTAGTGAGGAGCCAAGGACTCGCTCATTTGTCTTGACTGTAAAGAAGTTTTTGGAAAATAAGGGGAGAATCTCCTTCTGTGGATCAGAGAGGTGGGTGAAATGTCCAAAGAAATGTACATAAACTCCGCTATGCTCCGGTCAGAGCAAAAAGAGTTAAGACGGCTATCCAAAACTAGATCGTTGAGCAAGAAAATGGGCTCCCACGTGTAGCACAGTCAGTAGACGAAGCGTTCCCGACATGGATGTTGATTAAACAGCAAATATCCTGGGTGTAGGCTCCTCCTGATCAGGCATAACGAGTGCGTTCTCAATTTAAACATGCTCATCAAGTCAAGAAAGGACTATCGAACTATATCCATGAATTTATAAATCGTATCGCTTCCATGTAGCTTGAGCCCTTACCAGAAATGGTTTTGGCTACCATCTTTATGGAGGGCCTTCGTGCAGGCGTGGCTCGAACCAAAGCATTCAGGGTACGCCCCACCTCCTTTGATGTGGCTGTAGATATCGCGTTAAGCGCTTATTTCAACTAAAATCCAGCCCACTTAGGCACCCATGGTACAGCCTAAACTCGTAGAATATATTTGTTTCATTTTACCGAGGCCTATGGACTTCATTCTCGCCGAGACAAACGAAGAAGCACAGCTATGAGATATAAAACAGCAAATAAGCATTCGACGATGTATCACGTGCGGGAGCACAGGGCGTCTACGACCTAGTTGCCCTTTACGCAGGGCGCGCAGGTCAATTTAAGTAGAACTTCCGCTAATATAAAGAATTATGGTACGATGTGAGAAAACGTATAATACCATTTGTAGGGGGCACCCTGATGGGGAGAACTAGATTTGTTGAGCCTCTGGGGGTTAGGAGAGAGTAGAAAATATTCCCAAGGATTCCCGTGCACTCAAGCACAGAGCAAAAGAACAAGCCAGGCTTGTAGGTCGCAAATGCGACGGTTTAGGGCTTTGACAAACCCTGGTCGATTTTGATCGACTCTGGTGCATCCGATAATATGTCAGACGCTGTTTTTTGAGAAGGATCCACATTATGTTGAGACATAAGAAGCACACAAGGGTGGTACTAGCACCGTCCGCTTGGCGACAGGAACTCTATTAACTACACTTAAAGTTACTGTGAAATCAGGTATGAGTTGTTCTAATTTTGATGGTATCGAACGCTGTTTTAGTCCTTGATTTGAAATAAAATTGTGATCTAATTTTGGTATGGCTTGGCTTGAGCGTCATGAGCTACGTATCGACTGGAGGTGAAAACATAAGGCGCTACGCGCAGTGCCTTCATTTAAGCTGTGGGAAGTCATGGGCCCAACTCTGCTAGGAATCAGAAACTCTATCAGTGCGATCCACAGGCTTTAAATGTCAGTGTATTGGAAATCGGAATGTCAGAGTTAGTTGATTCTGACGGTGTCAAAGACATGAGCATGTAAAAAAGCTAAATATATGTTAGTAAAGCTGCACGTACCCAGCAAAGTGATAGTCGTTGCAAGAGCTACGAAATGAATGATGACAGCATTGTATATTCGAGTCAATTCATTAAGGATTGGACCAATCAGATGATCGTTGAGGGAAATGCAAGTAGCCACTGAAAGAATTTGGCTGTGATAGCGATACGCTGAATGTTAATATTGAGGGTGTCGGTGAGATGCCAAGGCACCCCGAGCCCGGCTCAGCGGATTCTTGTGAGGTGAAACGTAATCCACATGATGACGATGTCGTGTCAAATGAGTCGTCATCAGATTTTGGCAGCGACATCATCTCTAGATCATATCAAATGAATTTAAATGAAGATAGGGATCCGAAAGATATGAATCCTACAGAGCGCTTGTTGTGTTAAAAAGTGATGACGGCTATCAGA